ACAGAGAGCATGAGAGGGAGGAAGGCCAGAGGGAGAAGCAGACTCCCTGCTGAGCAGGGAGCCTGATGCGGGACTCGATCCCGGGACTCCAGGATCATGACCTGAGCCGAAGGCAGTCGCTTAACCAACTGAGCCACCCAGGCGCCCTAGCCTCAACAATTTTAAAGGACACCAAGAACTTTTGTTTATGTAAGTTTTATCTATAGATATTTTTCATATTAAAAATCAAAATGGAGAGAATATCAACTGTGTTTTTCTGAAGACAATCAGAAAAAAATTAATTGGTTTTTTTTTTTAAAGATTTTATTTATTTATTTGAGAGAGAATGAGAGAGAGCATGAGAGGGAGGAGCGTCAGAGGGAGAAGCAGACTCCCTGCTGAGCAGAGAGCCTGATGTGGGACTCGATCCCGGGACTTCAGGATCATGACCTGAGCTGAAGGCAGTCGCTTAACCAACTGAGCCACCCAGGCGCCCCAATTGGATTTTTTTTTTAGAGGTTTTTTTTTTTTTTTTTTTAAGATTTTATTTATTTATTTGAGAGAGAGAGAATGAGAGACAGAGGGCGTGAGAGGGAGGAGGGTCAGAGGGAGAAGCAGACTCCCCGCTGAGCAGGGAGCCCGATGCGGGACTTGATCCCGGGACTCCAGGATCATGACCTGAGCCGAAGGCAGTCGCTTAACCAACTGAGCCACCCAGGCGCCCCTTTTTTAAAGGTTTTATTTACTTATTCATGAGAGACAGAATGAGAGAGAGGCAGAGGGAGAAGCAGGCTCCCCATGGAGCAGGGAGCCCACATTCTAAGGCAGACGCCTAACGACTGAGCCACCCAGGCACGCAAAAGCAATTTGGTTTTATTGAGCATGGAGTTTCTTGAATGTAACCCTTTGCCAAGGTGGAGTCATGTAGTATCCAAGTTCCATTAAGTCACAATTGCTTTGATCTTTAAGTATGATCTTGGGGCACCTGGGTGGCTCAGTCAGTTGGGCATCTGCCTTCGGCTCAGGTCGTGATCGCAGGGACCTGGAATGGAGCCCCACATTGGCGGGGAGTCTGCTTCTGCCCCTCCTTCTGCCCCACTCCTGCTCCTCTCTCTCTCTTTCTCTCAAATAAATAAATCTTCTTGAATATGATCTTGATTAGATCTCGTTTGCGAAAGCAGTACTTAGTCCCTGGTGGCAGACATAGAACCAAAAGAACTTTCTGTAACATGTCAGAGGGGAAGAGGCAGTAAATAATGAGTAAGGGTTGAACAGTTTTCTAGCATTCATTGAAACTTGAATTCCTTCTTCCTCCTACAGATAAAATGCCATGTGGTAATATCAAGTATATGAATTTCAAGCCTATGTCTTAAGAACAGAAACTTTTTATTCAGAAAAAGTCAAAGATAATCACTTGAAGTTTACTTGAACATCACTTAAAAACTATTTATTTTATTTTATTATGTTAATCACCATACATTACATCATTAGTTTTTGATGTAGTGTTCCATGATTCATTGTTTGTGTCTAACACCCAGTGCTCCATTCAATATGTGCCCTCTTGAATACCCATCACCAGGCTAACCCATCCCCCACCATCTCCCCTCTAGAACCCTCAGTTTGTATCTCAGAGTCCATAGCCTCTCATGGTTCGTCTAAAAAACTTTTATTTTTTTATTTTTAAAGATTTTATTTATTTATTTGACAGAGAGAGAGAGGGAACACAAGCAGGGGGAGTGGGAGAGGGAGAAGCAGGCTTCCCATGGAGCAGGGAGCCCAATGCGGGACTCGATCCCGGGACTCCGGGACCATGACGTGAGCCAAGGCAGTTGCTTAACCAACTGAGCCACCCAGGCACCCCTAAAAAACTGTTTTAAAGACTAGAGAAACTAATAAAATAGAGAAGTTGTCATTGTTAGAGAAAAGCAAAGAAAAAATCCAGTTAATCTAAATTGGACTTTGAAATGTGATTGGATATTTACATATTGAAATGATGTATCTGATATTCCAGACATTCACAATAAACTGAATAAACCGAATATTTTCCCAATCAAAAAAATTAAAACTGAGAAAATTTTAAAGAATTTGTTTATTAATTCATTAAAAAATAAGCCCATTTTATGTTAACATAAATAATACATTTTTAAAAGATTTTATTTATTTGAGGGGCGCCTGGGTGGCTCAGTTGTTAAGCATCAAATAAATAAATAAAATCTTAAAAAAAAAGATTTTGTTTATTTGAGAGCAAGAGAGAGCGAGAGAGCGCGCATGAGCAGCAGGGAGATGTAGAGGGAGAAGGAGAAGCAGACTCCCCCCGGCCCCCATCAGGGAGCCTGATACGCACTCTATCCCAGGACCCTGGGATCATGACCTGAGCTAAAGGCAGACGCTTAACTGACTGAGCCACCCAGGTGCCCCAATAAAACATTTTAATTAAAAAAGTGTATTTTCCAAAACAAACCAAATTTAATGACAAGAGTAACACTGTTTTATATTTTTGTAACTCTCCTTAATATCTCATTTAATAGAAGACAAGTAAACTCCCATATCTTCTTTCTGTGGTGATATGTGGCTTTGGTTGAATAAAGAAAACCTGGCCCCACACAGACATGTAGGAGATCCTCAAGCACCTCCTGAAAAGGGTCTCAGGAGCCCCAAGGTTTTTAGACCACATTTTGGGAAAGGTAAAAGGAAAAGCAGTGAGTTGGGAATCAGAAGAACTGGATTCTCATTCTGGCTCCTCCATTTAACCGAAGCATAACTTTGTTCAAGATACTTAACCTCAGTTTTCTCATCTACAGAATGGGTGTATCAATAATTCCTCCCCCAGAAGATTATGTTCTGAGGATTAAGTGAGATAATATATTTAAAGTGCCTGGCATGAGATAGGACTAAACAAATATTAGTCTGTGTAGGAGGGCTATTACATTGGTGCTCCGAGGTGAGAGTGACTGCGGAAGACAGGACAGCGTGAGGGGCCTGGAGTGAAGGACGGGGTCGTCAACAGAAAGAAGGATGCAAACAAGCAGAAGGCCCAGGGGGAGGGCACAGGTTTTATATTCATTTTTTAAATGTCTTCCCTATAATATAAACATGTTTATTACAGAAAATTTGGAAAATACCATTTTTCCCCACATATCAAAGTCATTATGTACAGTTTGTAATCTTTGTCACAGAAGAGCATATCATTGAGTGCTCCTCCATGTTATTAAATTTTCTCTGGCTACATTGATTTTAATGGCTGCTTAAGATTTCATTGCATGGATGATTTATTTAACCATACCCCTATAGGATATCCAACTTGTTGTTTTACATTCTTTATAATCATAAAAAAAATGCTACACTAAGCATTTCTCTTAATTAATCTTTGTCCTAGTTTGTGAAGATTGTCTAGGATAGCTTTCTAGAAGGAAAATTATAGATGATATGCCTTAAGGTTAAGATCAAAGGCTCTGGAGTCAGTTGACCTAAGTTTGCACCCCATCTAAACTCCTTTTTAGTGGGGCAAATCGCTTTATCTTTCTAAGACCAAGAGAATAATACCTCCTACCTCACAGGGTTCTTGGGAATGTAGAGTGCTTTTCATTGAACCTGTCACAAAATAAGGGCTCAGTAGGTGTTAGATGATTTTTTTTTTTTAAAGATTTTATTTATTTTTATTTGAGAGAGAGAGAATGAGAGAGAGGGAGTACATGAGAGGGGGGAGGGTCAGAGGGAGAAGCAGACTCCCCACTGAGCAGGGAGCCCGATGCGGGACTCGATCCCAGGACTCCAGGATCATGACCTGAGCCGAAGGCAGTTGCTTAACCAACTGAGCCACCCAGGCGCCCCAGATGATTTTATTATTACAAATTAAATCATATATTTAATCACAAACATGTATACACATATAACTGGTCTGTTTCTGGGCCACTGGTTTAGCTCTTTTATTCTATCCTTATACCAACTGAACGTTGTAGCCCTTTATTTATATACTGCTTATTTCATAAAAGGTTTAAGGTAAAGGGCTTAAAATATAGAGTCAGTTCCTTCTCCTTTCTCCTCTTTTTTTGAATTTTCTTTACTTTTCTTGTCTGATTTTTATTGCAGATGAACAGTAGAATCATTTTATCAAGTAACAAAAGATTCCATTAGAGTTGTGATTGAATGTTGTAAAAGCGAGAAATTAATTTGGTAAGAATTGACATCTTTATAACATTCCTTTTTTTTTTTTTTAAAGAACACGGCTTGTCTCTCCATTTTCTTCATTGTATTTCTCAGCAAAACTCTGTAATTTTCTTTATATAGGTTCCTCACATTTCGCAGGAAGGTGGCCAGCTAAGCATTTTATAGCAGCATTATTGTTACCATTGTGAATGAGAAAAAACGAATCACAGTACCAAAGGCTTATTGTGTGCAGGGTAGGTTCTCAATGTTTTACTATTTTTAACTAATTTAAACTTAACTAATCCTCCTAACAGCTTTATGAGATAAGAACTATCATTTACATTCTCATTTTATGGAGAAGGAAACTGAGGCCAGAGAGATTATGTTCATGTAGTTAGTAAGTGGATGAACAGAGCTGTAACCATCTGGCTCCACAGTCCATGATCTTAACTATCATGTTATTGGGATATTTTTATTAATTATGTCTTCTGACTGGTTATTCTCAGCATTTAAAAGGCTACAGATTTATATTGTATTTGTCATGTATCAAGTACTTTTCTGAATTCTATTATTAATTCTCATCATTTTAACATTGATTCTCATGGATTCTCTATGTATACAATCATATCATCTACAAACTGATAAATTTGTCTCTCTCTTTCCAAAAGTTATAACCCCCTTTTAAAATTTCCAGCCTATTGTATTTGATTTTTCAGACTAATACTAAATAACACAGTGATGAGACTAGACATTCTTGTTTTTACACAAATTGTTGACTTCATATATATACATGTGTTTATATATGAAGAATATTAAGACTTTTAGGAGTGTTTATAGCAAATGGAATTGACTTGCCACGTTCTCTTTGGTGACTATTTTTTTTTTTTTTTTTAAGATTTTATTTATTTATTTGAGAGAGAGAATGAGATAGCATGAGAGGGGGGAGGGTCAGAGAGAGAGGCAGACTCCCTGCTGAGCAGGGAGCCCGACGTGGGACTCGATCCCGGGACTCCAGGATCATGACCTGAGCCGAAGGCAGTCGCTTAACCAACTGAGCCACCCAGGCGCCCTCTTTGGTGACTATTAAAATGATCAGATGTTTTTCTTGTTTGGTTTATTTTTGACCTTTTATATAAATAAATTTCCTAATACCTAATCTTGTCTTAAGTCCCAAGATTAAGCCCTAGTTGGTTTTTGTGTAATTATTATATTAATATACTGCTGTCTTTTATATGTTAATCTTAACTATTTTAGGATTTTTACATTTATATTCATAAGTGAGATTGGTCTACAGGGGTTTTTGGTGGGGGGCTTCTGCTGACAGGTTTTGATATTCGGTATACTCTGGCTTCGTAAACAAATCGGGTAGTTTTCCATCTTTTTCTGTGTTCCAGAACAATTTCTACTTTCTATTCATTTTGACAGATAAACACTGTATAATAGAGCTGACAAGGAAGAGAATGCAAATCGGCACAGATTATTTTGCCTCAGTAACTCTGCCACTTTGGTAGCTGCAGGATAGCCTTGATTGCACAGAAGCAATCTGGAGCAGTAGGAGGGTCAAACGGGCCTTTATTTTGGTGTGGAAGTCTAGCTGGCTGGGCAGGCACAGAGGTGACTGAAGGGGCGCTGGGGAGGGAGGCAAGTGCTGAGGGAGAAGTGGAGGACCAGAGATGAAGGGAGTGTTTACAATGGGCTGGAGGTGTTTAAACAAGGTCACAAAAACAGGATCAGGTAAAAGAACTGGGCCTGGAGGTGAGGAATGTGAGGGGAGGGGGGTTGAGGGGCAAGGGGAGAATTATCTGCGAGAGGATACTCTTTCCTTTCCAGAAAAGTTTCCAAGGTTCTGCCTGTTGGTCACCGGTTCCTGTTGAAGAAAGTCCCATTATTTGTCACCCAGGGTATTTGACCCTCTGTCCTACCATCTCCCTACCTTTTCATCCCAGCCAAGGCTTGCATCCAGTAGGCCTTCCATCAGCAACTTACATGCTTCTGAGCACGAGTTCACCATGGAGGGCAGAGCAGAGGGAGGCCAATCAGAAGACAGACTTCCCCAATTCTGACTTTATCCTTAGGGCCAAGTCCTTTACAAGGTGCTCTATTTCTTTTTCACTCCTTCGTTTCTGCTTCTCTCCAGCTCATATAGGCAGCCCCATAGTACCTGCTGTTTTTAGAAGTCACAGGAAAGTGCTGTCGGAAAGGCGGGGAGCATGGTGGTACAGAATTACTGGGAACTGTTCAGCATCATGCTTGTTGTAGAGCTGAGGCCATTCTGAATGACAAAACAAAGGCATCACAGACAAATGAAATTCAGCCATGTGAAGTTATTTTAAGGTCAGCCAGAAATTCCAGGCTCTTTTTGCACAAGTTCTTTTGAAAATTACTTTAACCGATGGCAAAACTGACATTACTTTTCACAGATATTCCTCTCTCCCTCTTACCCATGGATGGGTTAGTTAACAACCAACAGAGCAGCCACCAGCTTGACATCAGGAGGAAGACGCCAGGAGCACAGATGGTCCACAGCCCAGATAATTAGCTTCTGAAGAAGAAACAACATCTAGTAAGTCTTCTCCGAATGGAGAGTTTGGTTGGGCACAGCTGGGGCAGAGAATAAGCTGGCCTCCTCAAAATTCTTTTTTACCTCTTAAAATGTCGGTGGAGCATTCACCCACTTCCTGTGGACAACCATCTACTCATAAGACCTGCAGGGAAGAATCCAAATAAATATTGTTGACACTCCACCCTAAAGGAGGGTAAGCATAACTCCCTACTCCTTAAGTGTGGGATGCACATGGTGACTTCCTTCCAATGAGCACAGGATGGAAGGGCGTGGGGAGAGTATAATTTTACAATGGAGGAACCTGATAAACACTGCTTTTGCCAGGTGATAAAGGTCAACATCAACAGTCATAAATTGTGTTGATAGTATGTACTATTGATATGATAGTATGAAAATGACACTTTGTGATCTTCCTCCCCAAACCCATAATCCCAGTCTAATCATGAGAAAACAATCAGACAAATTCCAGTAGCGGGGCATCCTATAGTATGCCTGACCATTTGTTCTCAAAACTATCAAGGCCACCAAAAACGAGGAACAACTGAGAAACCTGACACAGTCCAGAGGAGCCTAGGAGACATAACAACTATATGTAATATGGTATCGTGGATAAGGATCTTGGAACAGAAAGAGGATATTAGGTAAACACTAAGGAAATCTGAATAAACTGTGGACTTTAGTTAATAATAATGTATCAGCATTGGTTCATGAAGTGTAATAACATTACATTAACCATACATGTTAAGATGTTAATAACAGAGAAACCTGTGGGGAGCTATATGGGAACTCGCTGTACTATCTGTGCAAATTTTCTGTAAATCTAAAGCTGTTTTAAGAAATAAAGCCTAGGGATGCCTAGGTGTCTCAGTCGGTTGAGTGTCTGCCTTTGGCTCTGGTCATGATCCTGAGGTCCTGGGATGGAGTCCGCATCCGGCTCTTTGCTAAGTGGGGAGCCTGCTTCTCCCCGACTGACACTCCCCCTGCTTGTACTCTCTCTCTCTGACAAATGAATAAAATAAAATCTTAAAAAAAAAAAAAAGCCTAGGAGTAGTTGTTGTTGGTAGTAGCTGTAGTAGTAATATCTGCAAGAATCAAATGAAGACTAAGATGGGACAAAAGCACTTCCAACCCCTTTAGGCTTCATAGGCATTTCCTTAAGTTGTTTGGCTTTTGGACTTTCATCCTTCTGGAGCACTTACATTGCACCCAGGGTTCTTTAGAGCTTATCCTATCCACACACTTACCATGTTTCCAAGGACTTTGTCCCCGACGGGCCAGGATAATCTCATTCAGTCTCGTGGCTTCTGTCACTACCTCTCTTCTGGCCATTTCCAAATCTGGTCTGGCTCACCTCACTGTTCATCCAACTCTCTATTACACAGCGCCCCCTAGGCGTCCAATTAATTCAGCATTTCCAAACCCGAACTCTCCCTTTTCCCTAAACCCACTTCCTTCTTGTTTCACTCACAGAGAGGCCAGAGCCCAGACTCCTCTTTCTTACGGCTCCCTGCCAGGCAGTCCCTAAGTTCTGTCAACGCTTCCTTCTTTGGGCCTTTTGTACTGTGTTCTCCTTTCTATCCCCGCTGCCAGGCCCTCAACACCTTTGGGCTCTCTGCCTTCAAGTATTCCCCTTCTCTTCCCTGTGTCTTTCCTTGCTTCATTCCTCTCCTTCCGAAATGAAGATATTTCCCCAGGCCTCCGCCAGGCAGTTCATCACTCCTCTCTGCTGTAATGCCTCACTATGAATGAATGTGTGTGCATGTGTTTATTTACCTTCTGTGTTTGAGATACAGCATCATGAGGAATTAGTGGCTGAGTTGACACAAACTATTTGTAAATATACTAAGGCCCATACAAAGCCCATTTTAAGAGCACCAGCCACCCTGAATTAGTTAACGGAAAAAGCTGCCATAAGAAGGCCGCAGAACTCAATGAAATTAAGACCTGAAAAATGAAGGCGTGAAAAGATAACAAGGAAACTTCCGAAAGTGTAAGGAAAGGAAGGGAGACTTAAAAGATGCTGCTTACGACCATATAACCATGAGATGCAATAAAGAAACGTCAGTCCCACCGAGCCAGCCAGGAGTCGAACCTGGAATCTTCTGATCCGTAGTCAGACGCGTTATCCATTGCGCCACTGGCCCTGAGACAGCTACACTCTTCTCAGTGATGATACTTCAAGCTTATACTGCGGGGTTTCATGGGACGTGTAGTCCCCTAACGGAGGTCTATGAGTGCACGAAGCATTATGGGAGATTGAAGTTCGTCGAGAACCAGCCCCTGAGATTGGTGGATCTTCCGGAGCCACGTCGTACGTCACTATGCAGCCCGCGGATTGGCGGGAAGAGCCACTCCCCACCCCTCAGTCTCCTGCTGTGAAGCCGTGGAAGACGCTCTGGTTGTTAGGGCGACTCATCCCGCCTTCCGGGGGCTTTTTTCTGGTTTTGTGATTGGCTGCTAATATCAAGGAATCCCGGCGTGGACAGCGCGAGGGAAAAGATGGCGGCGATGGCGGTCGGAGGTGCCGGTGGGAGCCGCGTGTCCAGCGGGAGGGACCTGAACTGCGTCCCCGAAATAGCTGACACTTTGGGGGCTGTGGCCAAGCAGGGGTGAGGGCCCAGACCTGCGCAAGCGGAATGCGGGCTCCGAACTCGGGGACGAAGAGGGACAGACTAGTCATCCCCGAGAGGCAGGGGTGAGGGGGTCGGAGTGGGTAAGATTAGGGCGGGAGAAACCATTACTCCTTGGGGGAGGATGGAGAAGCCTTAGGCCCTGGAGCGTGAAAAAAAAAAACAAAAAACAAAACAAAACAAAAGAAAACCCAAACAAACAAAAACTTGCTGGGGCGTATGGTCGCTGAGCCCCAAAGTCACGGGAGTTGTCAGGTAAACTCAAAAAGGACTAGAGACCTCTAAGGCCCCGGAGAGCGGGATTATAGTCTGAGAGTGGGGGGGAGTGTTAGAGGGTTAGGGAGAGAAGAGATAAACCTTGAGGGGGAAGGCATGGGCGGTACTGGGGCAAATCTGGATGTAACAATCTTGGAAAACCGGTGACAGCAGAGTAGAAAATCCACTTGGCGTGGGTTTTTATCTTTTCTCCTTTTCCATGCCTGTGTTTTGGGGAGAAACAGGCACAGTACAGCGGAAGTGATAGGCCCCAAGGTGGGCTGAACTCAGCAGTCCAGTCGGGTGACTGATGGCAGCTGAAAGGGTTGTGCAGAATTGAGATAGCCTAATCCAGTTGCTTGGATCTTTAGGCACTGCTGCTCTCTTTACATGACGATTCTGGGTCTGTCGCGGTTGTAGGTTTGATTTCCTCTGCATGCCTGTCTTCCACCCGCGTTTCAAGAGGGAGTTCACTCAGGAACCTGCTAAGAATCGGCCTGGCCCCCAGACACGATCAGACCTACTGCTGTCAGGAAGGGGTAGGGACCATCCCATATGCCCCTTAATTATTAGAGGCATAACAACTTCTGCTCTAACAGTGCCCTCATTCTCCTCCTTTCCTGACTTGGATATATTGGTTAGTCCTGGGACATAGATAACTCTTCTTGTTTTCTTCTTGCTTACCTGCTAAAAAAGCCTTAGCCTGTTTTGCATCAGGCTATCCCACATCTGTGATAGAAAAAGTCTTTGTCGCTCATCTCTACTCTATATTCCCTGTTAAGAACTAGAAATTGAACAAGTAAAGTGCTGAACCTCATTTAGTCTTTGTCTTTCTTGGATGGGGGGAGTGCAGACTGGAATACGCTAATTGTGGGAAAGCTATCTCCATGGATTCGTCCAGACTCAAAAGTGGAGAAGATCCGCAGGAACTCCGAGGCGGTAAGACTGTTTGACCTCTCCACTGGATTTTTCTAGAGATCAGGTCCGTAACCCGGCTGGGTGCAGAGAGCAGTTTTTCCTCCCATAACTTAGTAAGTCTAATATAATACAACTAAAGCTATTTGGGTTGCTAGCTCTTAACCTTTTCCTCTTGATCTCCATTCCAGGCCATGTTACAGGAGCTGAATTTTGGGGCATATTTGGGTCTTCCAGCTTTCCTGCTGCCCCTAAATCAGGAAGATAACACAAACTTGGCCAGGGTTTTGACCAACCACATCCACACTGGCCACCACTCATCCATGGTATGGCCAAGGGCCTCATTTCCTGCTGCTTATTGTGGTAGTCAGGCTGTGCTAGGTACCTTCTTGTTCCTAGCCATTCAGTAAAGAGTGCATTTGGCAGAACTGAAGTGTCAGTACTGCCTACCACCATCTAAAAGTAGTAAGCAGAGGGGTAGAAAACATACAGAATGTACAATTATTTCTAGAAACTTACAGTTGCAATAATGAACAGGGGAGATATTTACATAAGGATATATACAAGATATGAGTACGTGTACGTATAATCACAAGTTGGGAAAAAATATAAAAGGATTAACTTGAGATCTGGATCAAGATAATTGAAGGAAGCTTTTGGACCCAGTGAGTTCAAAATAGACTTCTAAGTAGGGTACTTGTTCATGTGCAGTTCTGGATGCGGGTACCCTTGGTGGCTCCAGAGGACCTTAGAGATGATATCATTGAGAATGCACCAAGTACACACACAGAGGAGTATAGTGGAGAGGAGAAGACATGGATGTGGTATGTCTCCTTTTGCTGCTGTACCAGGGCAAAGGGTAGGGGGAGGGGAAGTACAGGGTGGATCCTGTAGAGTGGTCTCCTCCCCCTATGGTGATTGGTGGGCCGTATATATTGACTGTATTTTGCTGTATTTGACCCTGGACAGGTGGCACAACTTCCGGACCTTGTGTGACTATAGCAAGAGGATTGCGGTGGGTAAGTCCACAAGGGTCCTGGGATAGGTGTCCTTTCTCAGACCTCCTGTGAATAAGAATCAGGAGTTACAGAGATGCCAAGTGAACTGTGTGCATTTTTGATAACTGTGTACTTCTGGCGACTTTACAGTTTAAAATACTACTTTTTATCAATTTTTATAAAAATGCAGAATTTTGTTTTGCTTTTTTTTAAAGCTATGTTGTTAGCACACAGAACACTTCATTATTGTTTTAGGGGAAGGGGACATGTCACTAATAGAGCATCTCCGAAGCTAGATTAATACTGGGGGGGGGGGGCGGGGGGGGGATACTTTTCCCTTCTAGTTTTGAGAAACTTCCTCTTGGTTCCCAGGACGAGGGATTCCTTGGTGTTGACACACATTAGCCACCTTGGCACAGATGCCTTGTGGTGTGGAAAAACTAAAATTCATTTTTTACATTTTCTTCTCCCTCTCTGCCTTCAACATAGACTTGGCTCCCTTAAACCCAGGGACCTGTTGGAACCTGACCCCAAAACATGGTTCCTAGTTTGTCAGGCAATATGGGCTTTGCAGTGTCACCATAGAGATGGCAGCCCTCAGAAGAGTTCCTTTTTTAGCTTGTGGATCTTCAGATTGAAAATTCTGCTATTTTCATTTGATTTCCTGAAAGTCAGGGTCAGCTTGTGACAAGTTGTTAACATGCTAAATGTGAACTGTCAACCCTCATTCTAAACTCCCTGTTCAGAGCATCACATAAAGACTTCATTGGGTTTTATAGTAAGCTCTCTGATTTTGGTAGTCCACTGAGGAAGGGAGTTTGAAAGTAGTTGTATACTTTTGAGGATTGTCTGCCCACGTCCTGCCTGAAATACCATGATTGTTTATGAAAAGTATCTTTAGTGAAGCTGGATACAATTAAACAAACAAAAAAAAGAATCAGGAGTTTCATGTATACTTGGCTGCTGGGCAGTTTTGCTACTCTCTGTATGCCTCAGTGGGCCTTGCTCTTAGGGAGTAAACAGATCTTGCACAAAAAAGCACAAAGGAAAGCCATCTTGCCTAGCAGTAGGTAACTGGTCTTTATCTTTTCGTAGCTCTTGAAATTGGGGCTGACCTCCCATCTAATCATGTCATTGATCGTTGGCTTGGGGAGCCCATCAAAGCAGCCATTCTCCCCACCAGCATTTTCCTGACCAATAAGAAGGGATTTCCTGTTCTTTCTAAGATGCACCAGAGGCTGATCTTCCGGCTCCTCAAGGTGGGTGGTAGGAGGGTTTCAAAGGTACTCCAGCTAATCCTCTTGCCTTACTCACATGTGTGTGATGTTTTTTTTCCTGTGGGGCTTTCTTTTCCTCTCTGGTTTCTGGAGAGCAATTTCAGCATAGTTGGAGGTCTTGAGAACAAAGACGCAAATGGCAGTAAGAGTCCCAGAAACATTTTAAAAGGAACCAGATCTCATGAGAACTTTACAGAAGGTTTCATTTAAGATGTTATAGCATGGATCCATGGGGCTATTTGAGCCAGGATGATGCTTATATGACATAGGAGGGACATAGGAGGGCTTTATGAGTTTATTGAAGCCTCATGCTGTTCTCTTGATACCTGGAGGGATTTGTTGAACTAGAAGACTGCTGGTCCAGGTCTTATTTTACGCTAGGGTTCTTTGGCCATAAACCATAACAGTATCCCAGAATCTTGGTTCGAGGACTGCGTCTGATGGTCTGACCTCTCTCACAGTTGGAAGTACAGTTCATCATCACAGGCACCAATCACCACTCAGAGAAGGAGTTCTGCTCTTATCTCCAGTACCTGGAATACTTGAGTCAGAACCGCCCTCCACCCAATGCCTACGAACTCTTTGCCAAGGGCTATGAAGACTATCTGCAGTCCCCACTCCAGGTGGGTCTGGAGTATGCTGAGAGGAGGGAGCTTGGGGGGGAAATGTCTCTGGCAGTAGCTGCCCTAAAATCCTACCAAAGTTCAGGAGGCAGTGGGAAAGTTTTTGGTATTCTGGTACATTGACCCTGCCAGAAACTGGCTGCCTAACTTTGCCTTTTTCCTCTCGTTCATTAGCCACTGATGGACAATCTGGAATCTCAGACATATGAAGTGTTTGAAAAGGACCCCATCAAATACTCTCAGTATCAGCAGGTATAGGGTGGGTCCGGGTCAAGTATAGGGCCGGGATGACCTGGGTGAAGATGGGATTGTAGCCACGAGTTCTTCTCTCCCTCCTTCTCCAGGCCATCTATAAATGTCTGTTAGATCGAGTGCCAGATGAAGAGAAGGATACCAATGTGCAGTGAGTGCTCTTCCCCATAATCCCAGAGATTTGCATAGTTACTTCTTTATCTGCCGAGTCAGCTGACACTTCCCCTTTCTTTCTCAGGGTGCTAATGGTGCTGGGAGCAGGCCGGGGTCCCCTGGTGAACGCTTCCCTGCGGGCAGCCAAGCAGGCTGACCGGCGGATAAAGCTGTACGCTGTGGAGAAGAACCCAAATGCCGTGGTGACGTGAGCAGCAACATCCTTGCTGGAAAGTTTGTCTCCAGTGCCAGTTTTTCTTATCAGTGTCCTCACTTGCATTATCTTTATTTTAGGTTAGAGAACTGGCAGTTTGAAGAATGGGGAAGCCAGGTGACGGTAGTCTCATCGGACATGCGGGAATGGGTGGCTCCAGAGAAAGCAGACATCATCGTCAGTGAGCTTCTAGGCTCCTTCGCTGACAATGAACTGTCACCTGAGTGCCTGGATGGAGCCCAGCACTTCCTAAAAGGTGCCTCCAGGCTGGCATGTACTGAGTAAGGGGAATGGATTATCAGCTAGGAAGGCTGCGGCAGGTTGTGGGGGCTGGGGTGGGGGTGGGGGATAGGGCAGTAGCAGCGGAGAAGGTTGCAAGGTTTAGGGGAAGGTGGGTTGGATTTGGGTCAGTGCCCTTAGCAAATGAAGTAATCTTTCTGAACCTCAGCATTCCCATCTGTAAAATGACAGGAGTGGACTAGAGCAGAGTTTCTCGGTCTGAGGTCTGTGGATTCCCTGCACTGACATGATATGTACCTTGGGCTTAGCTTTCATCCAGATCTCAAAGGGCTTTTATGACCCCACAGAAGACTACTAGATTAGAATATCTTAGGTTCTTTCCAGTTTTTTTTTTTTTTTAAAGATTTTATTTATTCATTTGAGACACATAGATACAGAGAGAGAGAGAGAGAGCATGAGCAGGGAGAGAGGCAGAGGGAGAGGGAGAAGCAGTCTCCCTGCTGAGCCAGGAGCCCGATGTGGGGCTTGATCCCAGGACCCTGGGATCATGACCTGAGCCGAAGGCAGACGCTTAACCATCTGAGCCACCTAGGCGCCCCTGGTTCTTTCCAGTTTTAATCTTGTAAATTAACCTAGAAGTAGAATCTCCTATGACAGGAGTTGGGAGTAGGTTGGCCTGGGAATGTGACAATATGGAGCAGCCTGGGTCTGTTTTTTGGGATTTTTTGTTTTGTTTTGTTATAATTTTTAAGTAGGCCTCATGCCCAACACAGGGCTTGAACTCACAACCCTGAGATCAAGAGTTGCGCGCTCCACCAACTGAGCCAGCCAGGTGCCCCTGCCTGGTCTGTTTTGATGTGGGAAGTTTGAACCTTCAGTTAGTCAGACACACCATTTCATCCCTTGGGAACTTTTATGACCCTTCTGCTCTGCAGATGACGGTGTGAGCATCCCTGGGGAGTATACCTCCTTTCTGGCTCCCATCTCCTCCTCCAAGCTGTACAATGAGGTCCGAGCCTGTCGGGAAAAGGACCGAGACCCTGAGGTAAAAAGCCACCCTCTTCTGGAGAGCTCTATTCTCTTTAGTCCTCTTTTTTTTTTTCTATATTAGCATCAACTGTTTTCTTCTACTGGAGAAGATGAAGAGGTGAAGGAGATGGGAATGTGGGAAAGTGGTTGAATTGAAAATGTTTTTATCCTTTTCTGTGTCCTGGAGGCTCAGGCTTCCTTTCCTGGGAGAGTGGATATGTCTTGCCTATCTGCTCCAGCTCTTGCTTGGTCTCTTGGGACAGGCCCAGTTTGAGATGCCTTACGTGGTGCGGCTACACAACTTCCACCAGCTATCTGCGCCCCAGCCCTGTTTCACCTTCAGCCATCCCAATAGAGGTGGGTTCCTGTGTGGCTGTCCTCTGATTGGATGGGTGAGAGCTTACCTTCTGGGTTCTTTTGCTATCCTGGGTAGGGTAGGGTAGCTGTCTCTAGGCTTCCCTTCTTTGTTCTTGCTCTTGCTTTCCCAAGTTCTCTGGAGCTTCTGGTCCCTTATCATCCACACATCTCTTCCCTAACAGATCCTCTGATTGACAACAACCGCTACTGTACCTTGGAGTTTCCTGTGGAGGTGAACACAGTGCTACATGGCTTTGCAGGCTACTTTGAGACTGTGCTTTATCAGGACATCACCCTGAGTGAGTGTCTGGGGCAGTGGATGGCAGGGTTAGGGTATATTATCTGGGCAGCTTATGTACATGTTTCACTTAGAGTCACAGGGAGCCCAGGAATCAGTGAATGTGGGTCTTTGATTACTTATTTCTCTGTTCACAGAAGACACTCCCCTCAGCCCAGGCAAAAAGTAGAGTCACAGAGACCTCAATTTTTCATTATTTTTTCTCACACAGGTATCCGTCCAGAGACTCACTCTCCTGGGATGTTCTCATGGTTTCCCATCCTCTTCCCCATTAAGGTAGGAATCACCTTTAACACTCAGCGGGTTAAGGAGTGACTTTTGCCATTGGTGTTCTGCCCCTTCCCTCCTGTCAGGATGATGCTTGACTGTGACCCACGGTCTAGTGCTCCCACATGCTCTTGGAGCCCTGTTGTAGGTGTTGAGGGGTCTTCAGTGCCCTTCTACTTGGCTTCCCCACAGCTCCTGTCTACTCTTCTGTCCAGTCTCTACCTTAGCTAGAGTCATCTTTTTAAAACCCAAATCTGATCATATTTCTGTCCTGCTTAAAATCCTTCAACGACTTTGGGCTGCCTGGGTGGTGCAGTCAATTAAGTGTCTGACTCTCGCTCTCGGCTCAGGTTGTGATTTCAGGATCCTGTGGGCTCTGCGTTAAGCATGGAGTCTGCCTGGGATTCTCTCTCTCTCTCTCTCCCTGCCCCTCCCACTTTTGCACACGCGCTCTCTTTCTCTCAAATAAATACATCTTCAAAAGCAAAACAAAACAAAACAAAACAACCCTTCAATGACCTCCTACTGCCCTCAGGATAAAGATTTAACATTGTAAGACTTGGTGTGATCTAGTTTTAGTGTGTCTTTTCAGCTACTATCCCCTTGATTACATTGCCATCAGCCCTATGGATCTTCTTTTTTTTTTAAATTGAAATATAATTAACAGTGTTGTATTAGTTTCAGGTGTAGAACATAATGATTCAACAAATCTGTACATTACTCAGTGCTCATCATGATTCTAATACCTTGTCTTCTTTCCTGCTTCAGGCTTTCACACCTTTCTCCTTTGTCTTGAAAGTTCTTTGTTCATCTCTTCACCCAGTTAACTTATCTTCCAGGTCCCCTTAAACATTCCTCTTGTCCGATAACTTTCCCTGACCACCGGGACTAGGTGTGCACTTCCTCTCGTAGGTGCTCTTGTAGTGCATGTTCTCTGCATGTTCACGGCACTCCTCACACTTTCAGTTATCTGTTTAATGTCTGATGGTTCAGTTCTGATTATTCATTCTAAAAGACTTCAGATTGGGGCGCCTGTGTGGCTCAGTCGTTAAGCGTCTGCCTTTGGCTCAGGTCATGATCCCAGGGTCCTGGGATCGAGCCCCGCATCAGGCTCCCTGCTCAGTGGGAAGCCTGCTTCTCCCTCTCCCACTCCCGCTGCTTCTGTTCCCTCTCTTGCTGTGTCTCTCTCTGTCAAATAAATAAATAAAATCTTTAAAAAATAAAAACAAAAAAGAATAAAAAAAACAAACTTCATGAAGGTTGGAACGTCACGTATTACCCTCTTCTCTCCACGCTTAGCTCAGTAGTACATTGCCACATACAGTTCATCAGCTCTACCCTGAACCTCCCTGTCTTTCTTCTTGCAGCAGCCCATTACGGTACGTGAAGGCCAGACCATCTGTGTGCGTTTCTGGCGATGCAGCAGTTCCAAGAAGGTGTGGTATGAGTGGGCTGTGACAGCACCAGTCTGTTCTGCTATTCACAACCCCACAGGCCGCTCATACACCATCGGCCTCTAGCCCTGCCCGCAAGTGTTCAGAGCCTTGGAAGCAGCTTCAAGTTCTGCTCCTGTGGCATAGAAAGTGCAGTACAGCTGTGGGCTGTGATTCCCCTTGCCCATCGGAGTGGAGCATTTCAGTCTGCTTTCCTGCCTTACATCAAGGTGGGCAAAGGATGAGAATTAATTGCAGGGCTCAAGCCACCAATCTGTGAAGACTTCAGGCCAGGGTGGGAGGAATTAGTGCTGGATCTGAAGGTACTCCAACAGGCCCTCGGCCTCAAGCGCTCCCTGGAATAGCCCCGAGAACATGTGGTTTGAACACATTTTCAGCCCTTTCCCTGCCCATCTCTGTTCCTGTTATGATGGTTTTGTGTGGGAGGAAATACAAATAAAGTGAAGTTACAGCCTTTTCCTGCTCCAGCCCTGCTGCCCCGCGCCTCTGCTTTCTCACACCTTACTTAAACCTAGGCGTATTCAATCTATGCCTTTATCCAAGACCCAAAGGGTCCTCACTTTGTTTCCTATTTAGGAAGCTTAATGGTCACTCTTGGACTCCTGGGTCTAGGTTTTCCCGACCAGCTGCAAAAAGGTCTTGTCCATTAAGACCTGTGATTAGTCTTTTCTCTGGGGAGGAAAGATTGCCCTGATGGAGAAAGATGGGAGTAGTGAGTGAAGCCAGCTTCCCTTCCACTTTCCTGACAGCTACCTCTTGGGAGGGAAACTGGAAGCCATGCAGGCATCTCCAGCAAGAAGCCACCTGTTTTGTTTGAATAAAGTCACATGGTTAGATTTTGAAGTCAGGAGTCCCAATTCTCCATTTTACAGAGGAGGAATTTGAAACTGACACAAAGTTATGATGTCAGTATTCAAATCAAGACTGGAACACAGATCCTCAGACTCTGGCTCTCCGGATGTTCTAACCAGCTATGTTTCTGGCAGCTAATACATTGGGCAGTTAAAGTATGGGGATTCTGGAAGCCCTTGGAACGTGAGAGTGGACATCGGTTCCTGCTCTTTCTGGTTAGAGGGCTGAGTATTGCTGCACCCAAGGAGTCACCTGAGAAACCTCCAACTTTATTTTGACAATGGGAGGTGTGTGCCTGTGGGACCAGGCAATGACCATAAGCCAGACTGTGAAAGAAGACAAACGTGTGGCAAGACTTGTGTTTCCCGGGGCCCAAGCACTGAGGGCAGGAGGAGATAGTTGGGAGGGTTGTCAGCCCGCTCAGCATGGGGATGTCCGGTCCAGCATCCTTCTGACGTGAAACACTTGCAGTTGCCCTCCCCGAGGCTGTCGCGGCTAAGCAGGACACGTGACCCTCTTAGGACATACAGAGAGTGCCAAAGAAGTCAATTGTACTTCCTTGTTGGCTCCGCCCGCGGCGCTGGCCTAGTCACCTGGAGCGGGGAGTGGGGCAGGAGAGTCCTCTCTGGTTCTTTGCCCGCGTTCACTGCCTTCCGCATGTCACCTAACCAATGAGGGCGATGGGCGGCCGCCTTAAGACGCTTCCACTCTCGGAGAGGTTAGCCAATCCATGGGAACTTGATGGTTGCTAAGAAACATTTGAGTTTGGCTCCACCCATGCTTAGGGTTTTGGCCAATGAAAATCTGTACTTTGGACTGTTGCCGCGAAACCAGTGATTAGTTCCACAGCCTGAATGTTTCGGCGCCTGCGCAGATTGGGGAAAGTTCTGGAAGACAGTGGAGCTGTCGCCATTTTGCGGGAAGACTTGCAGCTCCGGCTGCGGTGCTGCTTTTACTGCTGAGACTCTGGAAAATATCCGTGCTTCGCGTCCCCAATACACCCAAAGGAACGGCGGAAACCGGGACCCCCCCCTGCGGGGACCCGGAACTGGTGAGAAACCCCGAAACCCGGTCCCCCCGCGACGTCACCTATGCGTGACGTTGCCGCACGGCGCCGCCCCCTGACGTCACAGGCAGAAAATGGCGTCAAGAGCAGAATCAGGCAAACTTAAGAAAGTATTTTTGTTTACTTTGGTCTGGAAGTGTTCGCTCCCTCAGTGTAGCCCGCTGGCATGACTTTAGGGCTCGGCATCCTCGTGGCCGTATCTCTTAAAGATGAAGATGCTGTCTCAAGGATCCCAGTGACCGATCTCTTAACAAGTCCCTGCAGCCCTGACGTTTAGGGTCGCCCGTACTGGGGCGGGGATGGGGGGAGCATCGACCCACCGCGGTTTGAGAGGGCTCGCAGGATGGGTTTTCAGCTCTTAGTACCACTCCTCCGAGAGAGGTTAGGGAACTGAGACACTGAGACTTACTTCTCAGTCTTCAGGCTCTGGAAGACTCCTGTTCATTGTGTTGGCCTCTGGGCTTTTCCCTGGTTCCTTCTTTTTTGCCCACACGTTCCGTGGTGGTACAGGAGTATAGTGAGGCCACAGATGGGTGTTAGCATTGGGACACTGGCCCTTGCAGGGACGGTGCGAATGGTTACTTAGAGGACCATTTTTTAAAGTGTAGCCTTGGCTTGTTACACAGCAGGAATGTATTTTACCTTTCTCATTGTTCCTGTTATTTATTTTTTCCTCATTGTTCCTATTCTTAATAAGCTGCCTTCAGTTTGGAGGTGTTTGTACCCAGCTCTGTGACTGGACCCATCACTCCCTGGGACTCAGCATGTGGTGAATTTTTTTTTTTTTTTTTAAAGATTTTACTTATTTATTTGACAGAGACAGCGAGAGCAGGAACACAAGCAGGGGGAGTGGGAGAGGGAGAAGCAGGCTTCCCGCTGAGCCGGGAGCCCGATGTGGGACTCGATCCCAGGACCCCCGGATCATGACCCGAGCCGAAGGCAGTCGCTTAACCAACTGAGCCACCCAGGCGCCCAGCATGTGGTGAATTTTGCCTGAACTGAGCTGACAGTGGTTCTTCACTCCTTTGTCCCTTCAGCAGTGAGGCCTAAGTGTTTGTTGGGGTCTTGACTATGCTATGACAAAGTCCAGACTCTTGCGTGGTTGTGGGCCCACCCCTAATGCAGTTTTTGGAGCAGGGATGGAAGAAGGCTCTATAGTTTTTTAGTGCATGGGATTGATGGACTTTGACCCTTGATTTAGAACATGGGAAGAGTTCGAAAACTGCCAACTTGAAAATGCATAGGGTTTGGGACTTTCCTGCTTCTAGGACATCTGAAAAGATACACCAAACCGAGTGAGATTTCAGGTTTCAAAATGTGCTCATGTTCTGTATGTCTGTGCTTAAATAGATTCATTCATTTCTGAGTATCTGAGTGAAAACTTTACTCCATAGGTGGTGGCTCATTTGTCAACTTGAGTGAAAGTTTTTGTGCATGTGTTAAGTTAATCCTATCCTGTACTCTAGCAGTCAACAAAGAGCAATTATTGAAATCAGAAGCATTTCATTCGGGGAGGAAAAAGCAGATTTTAAAAAATAAAGAGGAGTTGTATGACATTTAGAAAACTTGTATAGACTTGGCACTTGGCTGGCTCAGTTGGAGAGCATAGGACTCTTGACCTTGGGGTTGTGAGTTCTAGCAATATGTTGGATGTAGAGATTACTTAAATAAATAAATACTTTTAGAGAAAAAAAGAAGAACTTGCATAGATTTGGCAGGCAAAATGACTGGAAAGAACAGAAATTGTAGATTGAAACCTTTTATTTTTAAAAATCATTTTTCCACAATCAAATATTATAATAAGCTTGGTCCTGATATTTTGAAGTATATGCTGTTTCATATCTAGAAGCCACATAATAAGGTGTGACTAACGGGACTAATGCTTTTGATAAACCTTTCAGAATAGTAATTCCTTAGATGACTGTGTTTTTAAAGTAGACATCTTGGGGAGGGCGGTGCCTCAGTGGCTCAGTGTCGATTAAGCGGCTGCCTTCGGCTCAGGTCATGATCCCTGGGTCCTGGGATGGGGCCTTGCAAGCGAGGAGCCTGCTTCTCCCTCTCCCTCTGTCTCCCAGCTTGTGCTCTCACTCTGTCAAATAAATTTTAAAAAAATCTTTTAAAAAATAAAAGTAGACATCTTGAGGCACCTAGCTGGCTCAGTCAGTAGAACGTGGGACTCTTGATCTCGGGTTGTAAATTCGAGTACCAAGTTGGAGGTAGAGATTATTTAAAAACAAAATCTTAAAAAAAACAAAAACTGGATATCTCGGTATGCTGTGTACTCTTCTTTTTAAAATTTAAGGCTGAATTATAAAGTACAGGAGAGAGAGGTAACCTGACAGAATTGACAAGACGTTAGACTTTGGGTCAGGAGACCTTAATCAAGAGTCAGCGCCTCCATTTAAGCTTTGTGGTTCTGGGCAGTTCACAAAACCTGTTTTTTCATCGTGCATTGGACCTGATAGCTGCTTTTAGCATATGTTACTTTTGATTGTTAAATAAATGTACAGTGTTATTATAATAAGCGATTGAGTTCACTGTTTTTAAGATTTTATTTTTAAGTAATTTGTACACTCAACATGGGGTTGGAACGCACAACCCTGAGATCAAGAGTCGTAAGCTCTACTGACTAAGCCAGCCAGGTGCCCCAAGTTCACTGGTTCTTAGACACACCTATTTGATTTTAATTTGGTTTCCATTTTAAGTCTTAAATTTGGCTCCAGGTAATTTTTGTTTTGCTTTTTCCAAGAATCTTGTCTCTCTAACAGGCTTAGTACAGTACCTAGCAATATTAGGTACTGTAGGAGTGATTAGTCATATTTTTGTATTACTTATTTTATATTAGTTATTACTTTTGTACTCCTGTTTTATTCTTAAATCACCAAAATAGGCTATGGGCTCTGAGGGCAACAAGGACAGCATCAGTGGATGATGCATTAGCTGCTTTAAAGAGGACAAAGGTCTTATGGATATGGAAAGTCTGATTATGATTAGCCTCCTTGCACAGAAGTTCTTCAGGTTAGTCGGAGGCTTTTTTTGTTTTTTGGTCAGCTTTATTGAGGTATAATTGACATAAAATAAAGCTGTCCACATTAAGGTGTACAGTTTGATGGGTTTTGATGTTTAAATACCCATGAAACCATTACCGCCAAAAGTTTCTTCTGCCCTTTTGTAATCCTTTCTTCCTAGCCCCTCTCCACCTCCTCCTATCCCTAGGCAACCACTGATCTGCTTTCTGCCAGTACAGTTTAGTTTACATTTCCTAGAATTTTTTCCTATAAATGGAAGCACACAGTATATTTTTCTCTTATTTCCTTCACTCAGCGTGTTGTGTATATTGATAATTTGAGACCAGTATTTTTTGAGTAATTTATCCTATTGATTTTGTTTGATGTCTTGTTTTTCTTTTTTCGTTTTAAGATTTTATTTATGTATTTGACAGAGAGAGCTCGAGTGCGTGCACAAGCAGGGTGGGCAGCAGGCAGAGGGACAGAGAGAAGCAGACTTCCCACTGAGCAGGGAGCCGAGCAGGGGCTCTATCCCAGGACCCTGGGATCATGACCTGAGCTAAAGGCAGACATAACTGACTGAGCCACCCAGGTGCCCCGATATCTTCTGGGTTTCTTTTTTTATTATTACTATTTTTTTATTTGATGGGCCTGAGGTGGACAGACTTAGGAAAGATGATTGCTAGCTGTGAAAGCTTGGGGGAGGCAGGAAGTCTTACCCTTCCTGCCTAGACAGGCTTCAAGGGTGGAATTGGTTAAGCCTGTCTTAATCATTATCTTTCTGAGTTACCTGAATTCTAGTTGATGTTATATGGGAAATGCTTAGCGATGAGTCCCCTAATTACTGATGTTTGTGTGGGGGATGTGGGGAAGAGCTTAGGGCAGATATGCATTCTGGTGTTGTTTTGTCTTGTTCCTGATTTTTAGTCTTACATCCTTACCTTTTTATTGGAAATATGTGCTTATTTCTATGATTTAAGTTTAAACCAGTTATTTATACAGAATTTTGAACTGTAGAATGGAGGCCTAGTGTCCATTGTCAAGTGAATAGTAATTTTGAATGCCAACACTTTTTCTTCACAGGACAGGGTCTGTATTGTATTTTGTTTCTATCTAGATATTTATTTTCCTTCTAGACACTTTACCTTTTCGAAGCCACAGAGCAAAACTAGTTCAGATTTAAAGTGTGCAAAAATAAACCTAGAGTAAGCAACAGCCAGGAAGATGTGGAATTCAAGAAACAGAACTGTATATTCTCAAGTCTATGTCTTGGAGAAGGAAGGGAATGTAGGGTGCCAGAAGGGGAGGAAAAATATGAGGTTCTTACATATCCACGTCCTCTCCTCAGGTCTGCTACGATGGCGTCCGATGACTTTGATATAGTGATTGAGGCCATGCTGGAGGCTCCCTATAAAAAAGAGGAGGTAATATTCCCCATCTTACTGCTGGAATTGGGTTAGTAAGAAGAAGCAGTTATAGATCATCAGTTTCAATACTTTGTAAATTCTTTTTCCCTGCTTGTTTATTATGTATCGTGGCTATTCGTGCAAGTCATAGTTTTTTAGTAAGCCCCACTCTCCAGCTTCCGTACTCAGAGGCATGCTGGCAGAGGCGGTCCCAAAGCTGGGGCAAGGGGCGGGAGGAGGTGGGGGGAGCAAAATGTGCTGGGAATAAGTGCTCTGCTCAGAACTCTCAATGACACAGTAGAAAGTCAGTGTATCTCAGACCTAAATAATTTCTCACTCTCCTGGGAAATGGGTGTCAGTGGAACAGATGTTGGGTAGCTCAAGTTTTGACATCAAAATCTGTCACCCTGAGCTCTTCTTTTTGGGTGGTTTCCTTCCTTCTTCTCTTATTCCCTTTGTTAGGAGATCCGGGTGCTCAGAAACTGGCTAGATAATTGTGAACTTTGATTTCACAAGCTTTCTTCTCTGTCCACTTTTGTTCTTTTGTTGCCCATTGGAATGTGTGTGTCTGCCACCTTGTACCTGGTGACATTTTTCCTGGCGAACCCCTCAGGATGAACAGCAAAGGAAAGAGGTTAAAAAAGATGGCCCTAGCAACACCAGCACGAGCAGTAGCAGCACCAGTGGGAGCAGCGCCGGTGGGGAGGCAAGCAAGTAAGTGTGGCATGAGGAAGTGGGTCGGCAGCTTGGGCAAGGGAAGCAACTGCGTCCATCGGAGAAATAGCCAGAGCCAGGGAGGTGGTTGCTTGTAAGACTGCTGATTTTTAGTGATGGCTCTACTGGGTCCTGGGAATCATGGTGACTTGGTTTAATGATCTTCTAGTCTTCACATTCCAGCATAGACTTGTGGCTCTCTTCTACCATCATCATTCTGTTTCAATTGAATAAAATAGCCAGGGGACCCCTGATTTGGAAACAACAACTTTTGCTGGGCTTTGGGGGGAAATGGCCACTTCAGATGCCTGACAGCATTCAGGGCTGTGTGCAAGTTGGTGCTGCTGTGAACTCCTGCCAGGTCATCTTGGGCTCTTTGGTCTTTTTTTTTTTTTTTTTTTTAAGATGTTATTTATTTATTTGACAGAGACACGGCGAGAGAGGGAACACAGAAAAGGGAGTGGGAGAGGGAGAAGCAGGCTTCCCGCAGAGCAGGGAGCCTGATGTGGGGCTCGATCCCAGGACCCTGGATCATGACCTGAGCCGAAGGCAGACGCTTAACGACTGAGCCACCCAGGCGTCCCGGGCTCTTTGGTCTTTTACTGCTGTTCCACCTGGCCTTTCCGTCGTTTGTTTTCCTTGGGGGAGAGAAGATCTTCTTGATAATGAGAATTTATCTGCTCCTTCACAGGAAGAAGAGGAGTCGGAGCCATAGTAAAAGCAGGGATAGAAAGCGCAGGTCAGTAGTTCTGGGGGCTTTGGGGCTTTGAGAATTACTCTAAATGGGAGAGCTATCCCTCGGAGGCCGGAAGAGGTTGGTTTGCCCTTTAGCAAACTCAGTAGCGCCTCGCACCTGTAGCCGCAGTCGGGAGCGGGACCGGCACAGGCGGAGAAGCAGTCGGAGCCGAAGTCGAGACCGGCCGCGTCGCCACCGCAGCCGGAGCCGGGACCGGCGGCACAGCAGTGAGACACGCAGTCGGGACCGGCGGCGTGAGGACCGCGTGCGCTACAGGAGCCCGCCGCTTGCCACTGGGTATCGCCTCTTGCTCATACGGTGGTGGCCTTTGTGTTGGGGTCTGGGTAAACCCCCTGCGCTGTGGTTCCTGCCTGCGGGTGCTCACAACCCGATGTGGCGGGCAGGAGACCCTGGTACTGGAGGGGTGGTGGTGACAATTCCCACGTGAGATGAGGTGCTGGAATCTGGTTTTCTCGTGCCGGAAGACCAAGCAGTGGACCAGCTCAGGTGAAAGCGGTGACACGATTTTCCGTTTGTCGTTCTCTGTTCCATAGGCGCAGGTACGCACACAGTAAGAGTCCTCATTTCAGAGAAAAGAGCCCAGTCAGGTGAGTTGATACTCTTCCAGGGACTGTGAGGTATGACTAGAAAGCCGTTTGAGCCAGAATACAGGAATGTGTGGTACTGGAGGGGAGCTGGAGAACAATAATCATGTATCGGGAGCGGGCATCTCACCAGATTGTACTCGCTCTTCAGGGAGCCCATTGATAATCTGAGTCCCGAGGAGCGTGATGCCCGCACAGTTTTCTGTATGCAGTTAGCTGCCCGCATTCGGCCTCGGGACCTGGAGGACTTTTTCTCTGCTGTCGGCAAGGTAACCCTCCCCCTGCCTTAGCTTTCTCCCACGTATAGCTGTCTTCTGTGCATTCTCCTTTATGCCCAACTCAGGATTTCCTTCTTGCCCTGGATAGGTTCGTGATGTCCGAATCATCTCTGATCGGAACTCCCGGCGTTCTAAGGGCATCGCCTACGTGGAATTCTGTGAAATCCAGTGTGTGCCGCTGGCCATTGGGCTGACTGGGCAACGGCTGCTTGGAGTGCCCATCATTGTCCAGGCTTCACAGGTGAGCATGTTGCAAAGCTGACATGAGAAGATGGCCTTGGAGGGAGGGGGTGTGGGATGCGATCCATCGGTTCCTCCTCGCCTAGGCTGAGAAAAACCGACTGGCAGCCATGGCCAACAACCTGCAGAAGGGCAACAGCGGGCCGATGCGCCTCTATGTGGGCTCCCTGCACTTCAATATCACGGAGGACATGCTCCGGGGCATCTTTGAGCCCTTTGGCAAAGTGAGTAGAAAGTGAAGGAAAACTCTGAAGGGAATTGGAGAAAGTGGGGAGGGTGAGCCTGTCTCTTCTGCCTGACTGCGATTAACCCACTGCATCCGTCAGGACGAGCGGATGGGTCCGTGCTGGCAGAGTTAGTATTCCAAGTGCTCAGTATGCAGATGAGTTAGGCACCGTGAGCTCAAATAATGGGGTCCAGATTCAGTAAAATGAGCCGGGAAAGGTGTTTTGGAAAGAGATGGTCTTTGTCTCTTTTTAAAGAGAAGATTCGGAGAGTTAGAACTGTTAAAGGTAGTTAGAGGTACAAAGTTAGAGGTAGTTTGAACGGTCAGGCAGGAAAGATCAAATGTGGGGGTTAGCCCAAAGATTGCTAATAATTTCTCCCTCTTATACAGATTGATAATATTGTCCTGATGAAGGACTCAGATACAGGCCGTTCTAAAGGTTATGGTTTCATTACGGTGAGTCTCTGGTCTTTAACTTTTGAATTTCAGTGTGGGTTTGTCCACTTGTCTGATTTTGCAGCTTAGCTTCATCCTCCTCCTTTAGGAACTGTCTAAATGACCCATAAGCCCTGGTGCCTGAAGCCTGGACTAGCCTTCTGCCCCTTGAGATGAGTGCATTGCTTGAGATCTTGACTTTGCTCCTGCACACTGTCAGTGGCCCTGGTATGGGGGTGTCCAGGAGTTCAACCAGCTTCCCTGGTGCCGCAACTTGCTCTTTGGGTAATAGAAATGATTTCAGGCTGCAGCTAAAAGGTTGGGGGCATGAGGGAGGTTAGGTGTGGGTTTTTATAGACATGGTATGTTTTCAAGGTAGGAGCAGGAATAGGGATTTATTTATTTTTTCTGGCAGTACCCCATCTGAAGCAGTTTCTCCATTGAGAAGTATCTTTATATTCAGAGACCGCTATAGGGAGAATAGCGAGGCCACTTCTTACCTTTTCCTGACACTCCCAACAAAATTGCTTCCAGTTCCCATAACTGGTTCTTCTAGCCCTGTGTAACTCCAGGCTGAGGGCTGGCTGCCGGCCACAGTCTCATAGAAGCTGATATTTTCTAGGTTCAGTCCAGGCAGCATACACCCCCCGCAGTTGCCTCCAGGGCAGAGGGGAGATAGGTTGTGTTCTACCAGGGGTATTGCTCACCTCAGAAGTATCCAGTGAAGGCAGGCCACCACCTACACCACCTGCCTAGGAATTGTCAGTACCACGTGCCAGGCTCTAGGGCAGGTGCTACCAGAGGAAACAAAGCCAGCCCTGGTGTTCACGGTGGCAAGTACCTCTTCTAACTCCTTGGTGACTCAGATGCAGAAAACCTTTTGTGAGGCTTTTTTGCCCTCGTGCTGCCACCTTTTTGGTCAATACCCTTGATACTTCAACAGCAGACTGGAATCTTCTCTGTACCAGGCTGCTCCCGTGCTGCTGGGTGGTAGAGCTCTGATCAGCAGCGCTGGTGGAGGCGTAGGGGTGGGGTGCAGTCTTGCTCCCCATGCCAGGGTGCACTCCCTCCTACGGCTGGGCTCTGGAGTTCCAGATTCCTACTTCTTGACTGAGAATTGAAACCGACTAGTCCTGAGGGCTGCAGTTAGAAAAGCCCAGGAACCTTGACTCTCAGGCTGTCTTTCTTCCATTGATATGCTTATTTGTGAAGCAGCGTGTAAGGGTAGGCCACCCTATAGATAACAGACTTTTTGCGTTATTAGGTTCTTAGTGCAGCTGGAAGTTGGAAGTGATTGCCATTGAGTCAGTTGGAAAAGGTCCTTTTTACATGATCATTTTGGGGGGATGGAGGTCACATTCCCTGGGACAGAACAATTTGTGCCACAGTGAGCATGCGATTTCCTGGGATAGCAGGACTAGGCGGTGGTAGCAGGGCTTTGTGAGCATGTCCGTGGCCAGGAAGTGACTGATACACAGCCTGGGTTTCTTGTAGTTCTCAGACTCTGAGTGTGCCCGGCGGGCCCTGGAACAACTGAATGGCTTTGAGCTTGCTGGCCGACCTATGAGAGTTGGCCATGTGACCGAGCGACTGGATGGTGGCACAGACATCACTTTTCCGGATGGGGACCAGGAGCTGGATCTGGGATCTGCAGGTGGACGTTTGCAGCTCATGGCCAAATTGGCAGAAGGTGGAGAGAGTTTCTCTGCAGAGTGAAGAATGTGGGGTGGAATTTCAGATCAGGAGTTGGGACTTAATACCAACTTCTCTGTCCCTTTTAGGCTCCGGAATCCAGCTGCCTAGCACAGCTGCAGCTGCTGCCGCCGCCGCCCAGGCTGCTGCCGCCTTGCAGCTGAACAGGACGGTTCCCTTGGGGGCCCTGAACCCTGCGGCTCTGACTGGTAGACTTGGACTTGGGAAAGGGAGGAGGGGTTGGGGCCTGGAAAGAGGGAATGCTCTGTGCTCACTAACTCGTCGTGCCTCTCTCTTGCAGCTCTGAGTCCAGCCCTGAACCTTGCCTCCCAGGCAATCGCCTCCCAGTGCTTCCAGCTTTCCAGCCTCTTTACCCCTCAGACCATGTGAGTCTCAGGGTCTGGCTCAGTTTAGCCTTTGGTTATTTTCTTTCCTTTAGCTTCCCATTGATCTCTTCTCCTTGCCATAGGTAAATCAGTGGCACAGTACACTGCCTCCCTGTGCCTCTGGGTCCTGCCACTCCCTTCTCCACATCGACCTTTCCACGGCGCCTTCTCCATTTTGTGGACCAAGCCATCCTGAGCGCATGGACGTTGGCTCTGCGGGAGTTGGGGCCACCCTTGGACTCGGGAAGAGCTCCTGCCCAGGGCCCCATTGGGAACGGACTCTGCTGAGCAAAGCCATGAGTCGAAGAGGACAGAATCTGCACCAATTGAACACCTGTTTCTCCGCGTATGTTGTTTTCTGGGATGACCTTCATCGCTCTTTCCAACCACCTCTTGGTGATTCCTCGATTCTTCCCCCATTGGGAAGGCCCTAGGGCATTAACTGAAGGAACTAACCTCTCTCCTCTTCCTATATCTTTTCCCTACAATCTGTTGAGGAAAACCTTTAAGACCTCTGGTCCAAGAGGACTTTGGAGTTTGGGGTTGGGGGCAGTGAACCTTGAAGGTGTTGGCTTGCTGCCGCACAGGCCTGGAAGATAGTGTGGACATGCGCATTGTGAAGCCTGCCTTAAGCTTCAGCCTGGGGCCAGAACTGCATCTTGCTGGGAGGTGTGGGAGTGATCTATCCTGCCAGTGTCCTGCCAGGCATTTTGGATGGTTTAGGGCTGGGGCTTTCAGGAGTTCAGCGAAAGGTGGGATACCTTTCCAGTATCTTCCACCTTCCTTTGTATAGTTGTCCTTCCTCCCAGGTCCTTCCTGTGGCGCAGGGTGGAAGGACGGAGAGGAGGCTGCTACTCTCTACCATTTCCCATGTGCCTCTACCGTGGGCTCAACCCCAGCTATTAAAGCTGCTCCTGTCCCCTGCCTGGGCACATGTGAGCCCTTTTCATTGGTTTTTATACCCCTGTGTCTGTGTACATAAAATCTATATGTATATGTATGTGTGTATATGTATGTGCACACACCTGCATACATATGTACGCATGTGCATACATATATATAAACTTTGTATAAAAGGCAAGCTCCACTGTTGTGGTGGCTTCTGCCCATATGTGTGTGGTCTCTGTCCGTTGGTGTGTCTGATGTTAATAACTTTTCATGAGCCAGAACCGTGAATGGTTCTAGGGATATAAAACATTTGTAATGCCTTTATGTTTTTTCCCTTTATTTTCATTTTGTTTTATCTAAACTTCCTTAGAAATTAAAATGGACAGAAGGATGGAGTTCCCCATCTGTCTGCATTATACTCTCAGCCCCATGGGTATCCTCCATATGTCTTCATCTTAACTATTCCCCGCCCCCCCCATCTTAAATATTTCTGAACTTACCTTGTCACTGGACACACTAACAGTCTGTCTCTGCGCCTAAGGACAGATCTTGTCTTCCCACCAGATGGCAGTGTGACGGTAGCACATTTTGCACCTTGGGCTAGAGGTGTTTCATGATCTTGAGGAGTTTAAGTGCCAGAGAAGCCTCCTAAGTTCACCAGTCTTACCACTAGTCTTAGTGCCCGTCTTTGGCCCTTTTGTAATGGAACTCCCAGTCCAGTATCCACAGGGGTTTGGGCCTCATACATCAGGGCTCCCCAGGCCCGAAGTCTGCTATTCCTCAGTCAGTCCCCTCAACTCTTGCTTTTCATATGTGACTCTGCTTGGGATGACACAGGCTTGGGACCAGTGAATTCCAGAATGCTGAGTATTCCAGGAATTGTCCTGAGGAAGGGGATGCGCACATCTTCCTCCACCTGCTTTGTAAGGCTTATGACAAGGGGCCTGCCCCGGAACCTGGCTCACTAGGTAGGGACCAGCCTAGAGAAGAATGTCTGAAGTTCAGGGGCAGAGCTCTGTGGGACTCCTTCATTCTCTACCCGTCTCTATGGCAACAGAATGTTAAGACTTTATTGTCATGCTAAAAATACGGATAATTGCTGTTAGGTTTTAATTTGTCAGCTCTCAGACTTCTAAGCAGAGTGATGGTTTTTCGTGATACTAGCTTCTGGGGTTGCTTTTCACACTGAAGTATTAGGTACTTGGCATCTGCTTGTGGCAGAAAAGGCCACTGGGACCCAGAACTAGCTCTTGATCTCCCCTCAGTGCCGCCTGCTATAGCCTCCTTGCTTCTGTTGCCTTTGCCGCCACCCCCACCCTTTCCCTGTCCTGGTTTGCTCTCTGGGCCCAGGGGGAGGGAAGGAGGATGCATTGTTTTTAGGTAATAGCTGGCTAGGGCCCAGTCCCCCTATAGTTATTGATTTGGCTGCTAATGCATCCTGAAAAACAGTGTGGACCATTTTTGTTAGTTATCTTGAGGCTCGGGACCAGGCTTCCGCAGGGCAGTCTTGAACTCCTCCAAACTGTAAATACCCACAGGCTTTGCCTGCCTCCCAGCCCTCATCAGATGGGTGCCCGTCTCTGCTTGGCTTCCTTTCATTCCCATGCCTGCCTACCTTGGCCTGCCTTCACTTTGCTTCCTTCCACCTCGGTTCTCCCCGCCAACCCTTCTTAGTTCCTCATACAGCCTCTTGCTGGGGGAGAGACAGTGCTGGAAGTGAGGAAACATCTAAGACAACTACTCTAGTCTAACCCATATAAGGTGACAGCAGCTAGTGGGTGACAGCCAGAATCACCACATGTGACTCAGTGCCTTCTAGTTACTCATCCCTGCATTGGGGGTGGTTGGAGTAGAGAGGAGGGGGCAGCAAACAGCCTCCTAAGGTGAAGGAAACCTTCCTGAGCCTCTTTTGCCTGAGCATAGCGGCTCAGGTGTGTAGAGAGAGGCTGGCCCAGATCCTCTTCTAGTGCAGAGTTGCCCAGCTGTCCTCAGTTCTAAACAGGAGTTCACCTGACTTAGGCTTCTGTCTTCTCTAAGGCAGTGGTATTTCCTCCTTGTTCTTTAAACTTAACATGTGCTTGAAATTGAGTTTCTGCCTATTTCCTTCTTAGGCTCCAACAGCCCCCAGATGTGAGTGACCAGAGGAAGCAGGGGTTTGCCCTTTGAACCTTTAGTCCTGGTGCTTATGAGGAAGGGAAAGGAGTTTACAACTTGAAGGGAGATGGTGACCCACAGCCTCTCCTTTCTCTGTTACAGAAGCAGTGTGGTGAGAATGAGGAAGTAATGGACGGTGAGGAGAGGCTGTGCTGGCTCCGAAAAGTGGGAGGTGGTATGATGGTAATTGTCGGCATTGGTGCAGGGCTGTTGCGGGTTAGGCATTGTTCTAGTCACTTCCTGTGCACTGAGTTCTTAATCTTCACAACGACCCTCTGAGGTAGACTCTGACCATCTTTACTTTGCGAACGAGGAAACGGATACCCAAAGAGGGTAAGTAACCTGCCCTGTGATTACACAGCAAGTTTGGGATTCCAATCCAGGCAGTCTAGCTTCAGATTCCTGGATCCTAATCTGAGCTTGCTCCTCCTGGGAGCCAAGGCCTGGGAGTCGCTTTTTCTACCTCTGTACCCAGAATTCTCAGTATGTCCTGAACTTTGCCACTTCCATGTTTGCTCATCTTGTTCTCTCTGCCCCTCTTCTGCTAGTCGGAATCCTCCCCTTTAAGACTCTGAAGCTTTGCTAGTTGATTTCCTTTTTCAGGATTCTTTGTCCTGTTACAAGTCTCATTCTGCCTTTATTTACAGTTCCGTATAAACTCTATTAGCAGATGATTATAGCCCGATAAGGCCAGCCATAGACATGTCTTCTTCATTATTGCTTTGCTTTGCACGTATTAGGTGTCTGTTGAATTAATTCCCTCTCTGTTCAAGTCAGAGCTAAGCTCTCCAATGCCCGTCCCTTCTAGCCTGCTTTCCCTGGCATCCTCCATTCCTTCCTCACCCCTCCAGGAGAGAAGGCAGCTTTTACTCTTTTTGGTGTTACCATAGTAGCCTCTGATGCTTTCTGTCAAAAATGCTGCTTGCCATCCAACAGAGACTGATGTTTCTATGGCAACCAGGTGAAGTCGCTAGTCCTGAGCTGGATGCAGGAAAGGAATTCTGGTCTCAGAACTGGGTCTGAACCTTCTGGCTTCAAACATCCCTTCTCTTCCCTCCCAACTTTTGCACTTTATATCCAGGACAGATTTGCTCTCCTTGTGCTCTTGGTGGCGAGAGCTCTGTGAGAGGTGAAGCAGACCAATTTAAATCATCTGGGAAGGTGGAGGCAAGGAAAGAGCTGATCAAAGCTCACTTTAAAAGTTGGATGAGTTCTGTTAGCTTTCCCACATGATCTCCTCTAAAAAGCCCTTAAGGAGTTGGCTGCAGTTACTGGAGGGCCATTAAGCAGTTATTTTTGAGGGCAATGGTAGATGGATGAGGGGCCTGAAGACTAGAAAGGAGCCAGTCCGTGCTGGCTTGCAGGGAGGGGAAGCAGTGACCTTGGAAATCAGAGACTTGTCGAACTCTAGCCAATGTTCCAGGAAGGAAGGGAGCTTTCATCGACTTTCAAGCATCGTGAAAGCCTACTTGTTTAGAATGGGTAGTGCTGAAATGGATAGTGCTGAAAATTAGCCTTTTCTGAACTCCTGGGCCCATCCAAGCCAGGGGGCCTTCACCCTCCCAACAGAATGGCCCCGCTCCGGAGCAACGCCACATGCTCCAGATGGCTCTGCTGTCACAAACCAGCTGAGTAAGCTGGGCGGTTTGTCACTCTGTGACTTGGACCCCTCATGTGTGAAAAGGAAAAGCTAACAGTAGCACCTGTCTCAGGGACGGTGTGAGGCTGAAATGAAACAGTCCGTGGAGAGGGCTTGGAACCCGAGAGCTTGTCATTACTACCGGCCATCATTATTCCCGTTCCTCCGAATGCCGACACACTGCACTTCCTACCTGACCTCAGAGAATGCTCCGCATAGGCGGGGAGAGAAGTGAGGGTGGCGATGGTGAAAGCAAATCTTCATTGTTCTGGACTGAAGTCCCTGGCTCACACGGTCCTGGGTCACCAGCAGCCTAGATTTCAGAAAAACAAGTCCCACTGGCTCAATCCCTTTTTGTGCCTGAAACTATAAATCAGAGGGGGCACCTGGGTGGCTCAGTCAGTTAAGCGCCTGCCTTTGGCTTAGGTCATGACTGAGCCCCGTGTCAGGCTCCCTGAGCCTACTTCTCCCTCTCTTGCGCCCCGCCCCCCCCCTCTTGAATAAGTAAAATCTTAAAAAAAAAGGCCAAGGTGATTCTCTCCCTAGCCACCCTGTCAGGTACCTTCAGCATGCCTCTTGCCCTTTGCTTTGGCCAGGGAAACCCCGCAGTGTTCTCTGCTGCCACCCTTTGCTTAGTGCCTCTCCTCACCTGCCACAGGTGTCCTATAGCACCTGCCATCCCTGGTCTCCAGAGCTCTGACGACTTCCTTTCAGAGAAATACTTAAAATCAGCACAGGTCCTCTGCCTAAAGACAAATTAGAACTGGGACAAAAAAATGGAAAACTGTGCAGTATAATACCATCACTTAGGCTTCAGTTGCCAATCTTCCTTCCTCTTCCCCCAATACCCCTCAAAACAACAGATCTAATAATGGGGGCTACCTATGAGGGTTACCTGTGAGTCCTTTGGAGGCAAGTTGGACCTTGTAGACGGCAACTTAAAAATGTTTTTCTTTTTTCTTTTTATTATTTATTTATTAAAGATTATATTTATCTATTAGAGCATGAGCAGGGGGAGGGACAGAGGGAGAGGGAGAAGCAGACTCCCCACTGAGTGGGGAGCCCAAAGCGGGGGTCCATCCCAGGACCCTGAGATCATGACCTGAGCCCAAGGCAGACACTTAACCAACTGAACCACCCAGGTGCCCCTCTTTTTATTTATTTTTTAAAGTAATCTCTACACCCATTGTGAGGCTCGAACTCATAACCCTAAGATGAAGAGTCACATGCTCTACCAACTGAGCCAGCCAGGTGCCCCTTAGATTTGTATCTCCAGGGCGCTGCTGTGCTTTGAGTAGTCAGCAAGCTGTCTGGGTACCTGAATAAGGGATCAGGACACAGATTGTAAAAGAACATTACTTCCATGGCTCATTTCTATATTTGACAAATTACAAAGATACTTGCATTTGCATTTAGTCCTCATGACCATCCTACAAGGTAGGTATTGTTACCTTTACTTTATAATTGGGAGAGCTGAGGTCCAGAAAGGCAGAGAGATTGAGAGTGACTTTCTCTATCCAGAAAATAGTGGGACTGAGTACTAACTAAAATGCTTGCAAGGCTCCCACTGAGTTTGTATTCGCACCTTGGGTACCAGGCCACCAAACCATGGAGCATGGCCATCAAGAGTCAAATAGATGAGGGGCACTTGGCTGGCTCAGTTGGTGGAGGGTGTAACTCCTAATCTCAGGGTTGTGAGTTTGAGCCCCACGTTGGGGGTAAAGATTACCAAAAAAGAAAAAGAAAAAAAATAGATGACGCGCCTTGAGCATATCCATCACAGAGCCACCAAGATGATAAAGGACTAAGAAGCAGGATGCTCTTATCTGGTTTTGGGGCCCCTTGACAACTCAGCTGTACCATCCCCTCAAGTTTTGCTGCCTTCTCACAGGGAGGGTCTTTATGTCACACAGTGGGCTGCCCACCATGTCTCGTGTCTCCTGTGCATTTGCTCACGTAGTTTCCCCACGGAGTTTTTTTCTTCTTTCCCCCATCTAGCTACAGCCTGCATATATCCTTCAAGACCCAGTTCCTAAAATCTGTCTCCAAATTCGGTTTCTTCTGTTCAGAATTCTTAGAGCACATGACATAGCCTCCAGATAGTCAAAATGCCCAGTTTGCTGCTGTTGACCCCCTTGTCCCTTCTCTCCAGCTCAATTGTAAGCTCCCGGAGGGCAGGAGTAGTGTCTTACCTGTATTTGTTTTTCCCATAGGGCCCAGTGCAGTGACTGGCATTTGGCAGTATTTGAGGGGAACAACAGGTATTTGTGGATGGATGTCCAGGAAAAATGGACTTAGACTGATGTGGATAGAACTGTTAGATTACTGAGATGATGTATGCATGGGTGGGCTTTCTGGGAGTGAGGGTTTAACCGAGAAGACTTGTGAAATCCCCTTCTGTGACTGGCAGGCTTTTCGAAGAGGAAAGACCTTGCCCCAGTCTCTCTAGAGAGGGTTAGATGCAGCAGGGCATAAAGGCCCAACTCTGAGCAGAGGCTAGAGCAGAGGGATGCCTTCAAGACACAGGACTGGCGTTGCCTCTGGCCCCTCAGAGCAAAGCACACACACTTCCTGCTGTTGGCCCATCAGGACGCCTTGTGGGCCAGGGACTGCAGGGGTGGCAGGGGCTGGCTCGTAAAGGGGCACAGACAAAATCACAGTGGTTAAGAGGAGCACGAGGGCGGAGAAGACCTTACCTGGCAGAAGCAGCTCAGGCCCCAGGGCCCTTTGCTGATCTCTCCCACCAGCAGATCAGCAGCCCGTGCGACTCTGCCTCCATCAGAGAGAGGGAGAAGAATGGCCTGGCTCTCAGAGAAGACCCCACCTTCCAAGTCTGGGGGGAGTGTGGCTTCAGCTTCCGTCTGTTCTGAGCTCGTCCCTGTAGGCGTCTGGAGGGAACGCACAGATGGGTTGGGCTGATGGGGCTGGCTGAGTGAGGAGGAGGGAGGCTTGTGGTGTGTGTGGCACCCCTCACAGGGGAGGCCCTGCCACCACCATCTTCAGTATGCATATTAGAAGCTTCAGACACAAGAAAGGCACTGGCCTTTTTCCTCATCTTTTCCTTTGGCTACATTTGACCAAGCCCTCTTCCCGGGGCGCCTGGCCGGCTCAGTCAGTAGAACACACTACTCTTGATCTCAGGGTGGAGAGTTTGAGGCCCACTGTGGGCATAGGGTTCACTTAAAAAAACCAGAGCCCTCCTCCCTTGGCAGAACCACCGCATGTTCGATTCCGGTTCTTGCGCTGCCTCGGTGGCGGCTGCGTCTCCACCTGCCTCATCTGCTTATCCCCAGGACCCTCTCTCTGGTCTCTCCTTTCTCTGCAACTTCAAGACTTTGTTTTAAGTTATTTCCTTTTTGAACAGGTGATATATACCATAGTTAAACATTCGAACAGAAGAAAAAGCATCCAGTGAAAAGTAAACCTCTCACACTAGTCCTCCGCCCACCCAGTTTCCCCATCCCAACAGCAATCAGTACCACCCTGGGTTGTAATTTGTTGGGTCACAGACCCCTTTGGCAATCTGGTAAAATCTGTGAACCCTATTCTCAGATGCACGACTGCACAAACACATCAAATTGTCCCACTTCACAAACATCACAGACCTCTAAGGCCCATGTGTGGTTTGAAGCTAAGGATCCCAGCCTGTACTGTACCCTCTTCCTCAGTGCCTCCTTTAGCATAATTTGTGGGTCCTGGTGCAAAAAAAAATGCAGGGCTTGGGGAGCCGGGGTGGCTCAGTTGGTTAAGCATCTGCCTTCAGCTCAGGTCATGATCCCAGGGTCCTGGGATCGAGTCCCTCATTGGGCTCCCTGTTCAGTGGAGAGCCTGCTTCTCCCTCTTCCTCTGCTGCTCCCCCTGCTTGTGCTCTCTCTCTTTCTGTCAAATAAATACATAAAATATTTAAAAAGTAAAGATACAGGACTCCTTGTTCAAAGATGTTCAAGACCGCGACAGCAGTGTATCAGACCAAGCATGGGGTGCTATGTGACGCAGCTCATCATTTCCTCTGGCTCCTCTACTACCATCTTTACGGGGATTATTCTCATAGCTGTGTCTCTCACCCTAACTTGTTCTGAATTTCAGACCCAGCTGTTCAGGGAGCTGCTGAAACTCTATATGGATGTTCTTCTACCATCTCAAATTCAAGGGTCTCCAAAATGGAGCCAGTTACCCACTTCCTCCTCTGCCCCCTAACACCCAGTTCCTCACCATCCTCCTACCACCTGTGACTCCTGCCTGCACCCAGCCACTCAGTTGCCAAGTTCCACCAATTCTGACTCACACCCCTGGTGCCTCTCCCTGCCACCACGGTCTCCCTTGGGATGGCCCTTCATTACCCTCCATATGTATTACTGTTAATCACCCCCTCAACTTAGCTCCTCAGGCCTTGCCTCCGCTGCTCCAATCCATGCACACCTCTCCCAGCCTCCTCTTCCCAAGGACCATCCTGATCGTGTCACTTTCATACTCAAGGACCTTTGGTGACTCACTGTTTGCAGGCTTGGGCACAAACTCCTTTGCTTGCCATTTAAGGTACTTAAAAGTAGGGTTCTAAACCTCCATGCTCATCTCCTACCCCTCCTCTTAATGTCCCTGAGGTTTCAACCCAATGGTAGAACCATCTGTCCTTCAATGGGCTGAGTGTGCTTTTTTGCATGTTACATTAGGAAGTGCCTCTGTTCATGGTCCCCAGAGTTTAGCCCTGGCTATTCCCTCATAGCCACATAATCTCTGGCCCATTCACCACAGCCACTGCCCATGGCCCTGCCCATCGTGTCCCCTACATTTCTTCTAGCGACCTTCTTCCTCTTCTCCTTACTAGAAGGGGGACCTTGGATGCAAACCTGCATAAAATCATTAAGTATCAAGCAGATATGAGTGGGATCCCCGCTCTGGTCGCTTCCTGACCTCAAGCAAGTTACTTAAACTGTTTCTTCTACAATAAAAGGCACAGTAACACCTTATATAGTTATTAGAGAATTAACAGAGAAAGCAAATAAAGTCCTAAGGATAACGTCACTATTCATACTATCGTCTCATAACCACCCATGCTGAGCTGGTCCCCCTTGGCTCCTTCCCAGCTGCAGGGATCAGGAGACATCTCATCCCTCTTTCCATCAAGTTCTGGGAACCTGGGTGGGGTGGAGTGGAGGCCTGGCCCTCAGGTGCTCAAGTAGCTGTGCTGTAGTTTGGGGTGAGGGGAGCTGTTGCCTCTGCTCTCTTTGTTCAGACTCGTGGCTCAGGCAGCAGTAGGCGTGGGTGTCCCCAGGGGGAGGCATTGACAGCTTCAGTTCTCACACGGGCTTTGCAGGTGACAGTTGGGGTGGTGGGGGCCTGCCAAGGGAGGTGCGGGCCATTATCATGCCCCAGCTGATGGGTCTCCCTGGTAAATGTGGGCCCCACCTGAAACCAGCTGGGGGTAGCTCTGGGTGTTTAATGTAGCCTCCAGCTTACTCTGCATCATAACGTGAGGTAAGGTGATGAGGTCTAGAGTCTGTGGATTTGGTCCCGTTGTGTCAGTAAGTTACTAAAACTTCTAGCAATTCTTTGCTTCTCTCCGGGTTGTTTGCTCATCTGCAAAGGGATCAGTTCGACCCAGTTATCTCTGAGGGCCTGTGGCTCCTTATCACGGACTACACCAGGACTAAGTCACTTCTGGAGCCTCCGTGGAGATTTAAGTTCCTTGCTCCTCTGGTCCTAAGCTTTGTCTGTAACTGTTTCCATCTACAACTATCCCTTCTGTGGGGCTTTTGAGAACAGAGTCAAAATGAGCAAATGTAGAAAAGTTCTTTATTGAAAAGGGAAGGGTGGCTTCCTTGCTGGGGCCTCCTGGGCCCTGGCCAAAAGGGGCGGTGCCACCTGCTCAGCTCTTCACAATGGCATCTGAAGGCAAAAGTCTGTCCAAACCTTACCTTTAATAACCTTAAAAGGGAAGTGCCGCGGTGTGGTGGTGAATCACAGAATCAATTCTGAAAAATAGCACTTCCAGGCCCTTGCCTTTAAAAACTTCTTAAAGGCAAAGTGGACAAGTGCAGCAACTAAGAGCCAGCACGTTTTAGGAGAAGTCTCAAAGAAGCGTCTCCGTGTCTTTACCTTTAAGGATTTCTTAAAGGTGAGGCGTATCGGCGCAGAGTACAAAGGTGAACTGGAAAGGGGTCTACAAAGCACTTTCCAGTTCTCGCTTTTAGGATCTCTTTACAGGAGAGGTGGTCAAGCGTGACTTAATAAAAGTCAAAATGGCTCGCGGAACTATAGCCCGTCCTGCCCTCCAGAAGCCGCCTGGCCCTCCGGCCGCAGCGCGCCCGCCCGCAGGTCTGCGTCCTCGCTTTCTAGGCGCTCAGGGGCGGGGAGGTAGCCAGGGCACGCGCGGTGGCGGGGCTGGGGGCGACGCGCGCCGGCGGCTGGGCGCCCTGGGCGTTTTTGGTTTCCTAGACGGTCTTCGCAGAGGAAGCCGGACGGGGGGCGGGGCGGGGCGAGGGGGCGAGCGGAGGGCGCGGTGACCATGGCGACCGCGGTGACCATGGCGACCGCGGCTCAGAGCACGGAGAGGTCGTGACACGACCTGGAGCGCTGCTTGAAGAACTTGGCGTTGCGCGGCACCAGGTTGGCCAGGAAGCGCTTGGCCTTCTTGGTGAGGCTCTCGCGGCGCGCGGGCGGCGGGGGGCCGTCGGGGCAGCCCCACTCGGGCCGCGGGTCCCCGGCGCGGCTCCGGCTCCGCCGCAGCCGGATCTGGCGCACCGCGCCCTCGAAGAGCTCCCGCGTGTTGTGGTGCAGCGCGGCCGACGTCTCGATGTGCTTGCAGCTCAGGGTGCCTGCCAGGTGCCGGCCCTCTGCGGGAGGGGACCGGTTGAGGCGCCCGCGGGCTGCACTGGGCCCGGAGCGGGGCGGGGCGGGGTGGGGGTGGGCCTGGGCGGGGCGGGGGGCGGTGGTGGTGCCCCGGGTGCAGCAGAAAGGGGTCGCGGTCGGTGAATCTCAACGGAGAACAAGGCAGGGATCACGTAGAGGGCGGTGGTGGTGCCAAGGGGAGGAGAGAAAGGGGCCTTGGAGAAGAGGTGAGGCCTAAAGAAGGGGTTCTCGGGCCCTAGGCATGGGCATTGAGATTCTGCCCTTAGCCTGCTAAAGGCTAAAGGCCGTTGTTTGTGCACCGGGAGGGTAAAAGGGCCCTGTGGAGAGGAGGCGACCTGGAAGGGAGAGGGTCCCCTGAGATTGCAGGTATGATGAGGTACAGGATACTCACCCTCCAGTGAGACCTCCCGGGAGCGGGCCAGGTCGCTCTTGTTTCCAACGAGGATGACAGGGAGGTCGTGGTGGGGCCTCCCAGCCCGCAGCCTAAGTAGGGTCTCTGGAACTTTGGAGAAGCTCCGTCGGTCGGTGACCGAGAAGACGATGAGAAAGGCATCCCCGGTCTGAAGGCAGTGGTCCCGCAGCCACCCCCCTGCGTCCCCCTGCATATGGGCAGAGAGTGGTGGAATGTCAGGGCTGGAGGCGTGGGAGCACCTGCCCAGCACCTGCATCTCAAGGATGAGGCATCTGGATGTGAGGGAGAAGCCACCTGCCTAGGACCGCGGAGCTAGTTAATGGCAGAATCTCCATACCCTGGAGTGTGCTTGTGGAGGAGTGGGTGGTTTATAATGTGAGCCCCACATGGGAGAATTGGGGACACAGGCTCCTAGATTGGGGTAGCCCATCCTACTTTCTTATGCTTAAGTGCTCATTGTAACAGTGAATGCTCTTCAATTGTATGTAATCTGGCCTCTCATTTCTATGTAGTAACCATGTATGTTCAGATAGTCACAAATCCTCACTTTTTCCCCTTCCCTGATACTCCAGGCCCTGAGCTCTTGTCCTGTCAGATCAGACTCTTCCAGACTGGAAAATGTATGGATGGGATTGATTTCAGGGTATTCAGCCTGGCTTACAGCTGCAGGGTTTGTCAAATTCAGATCCTAACTTCCCTCTGGGTCAGAAGTCCTGGAAAGAAAGCGACACTCAGTGCCATGGCATGCGCATTAATGTGGGCCTTTGCTCTGGGAGAGGATACATGTGAAAGGTCAGGTTCTAGTATGTATTGGAACCAGGGCCTACAGTGCCACCAGCCTTCAGCCACGCTCTGCTCCTCCCCAGCTCTCCTAGGTTCTCACCTGTTCCCAGATGTCATAAACAACTAGAGTCACTTCCTCCTTATCCACCATGATGCGTCTTTCATAGGTGTCCTCTGTTGGGAAATAAGGACAGGGAATAGAGCCCGTTAGGAGGCTCCCCAACACTTGTGAGACCTGGTAACCAGGGGCACCCCCTCCAGGGAGGTAGCTGCAGCAAGCACTGGAGCAATTTCTCTTAGGTTCTGGCCTCCAGGGGCTGCTCATGCCTTGAGCTCTTCCATCCCTGACTAGGGCTCCACAGGTGCCCTTAACCCTTACAGGGCTCCCCCAAATACCTGGGTTCTCCGGCTCATGAGCACTGTCTCCCTGGAGACCACCGAAAGTGCCTGCTAGGGTGCTCTTGCCCACGCCGCTCTCCCCTACCAGCATGACCTTGAAGATGCCATCCTTTTGGGTGGGGCCTGCCTCCCCTGAGCCCAAGGAGTCAGAGGAACCAGAGGATGAGGCTTGAGGTGGCCAGTCAAGTTCATCTATGGCCTGGGCGCGCCGCAGCTGGTGCTTGTAGGGGACAGGCATACTGCCTCTTCGTCTGGGGGCCCCTGGGGCAGGAGGTGGCCCACCCCGGTCCAACCCTGCCAACAGCTTCTCTGTCTTCTTCAGCAGTGAGGCATCTGTTTCTGGGGGGGGGGCAAAGAGAAGGAAGCTATGAGTGGGGGGTATGCCTAGCCATCTGCAGAGGGCTCAATCCTGTCTGCTCTGGCCTCAGAGCCCCAGTGGATGACCATGACCCAGAAGGAGCTGAGAATATTTGGTCTGACCTCTGACACTGAACTCCCCCCGAACCCTGCACTGGTGGGTCTCAAAGGAGCCGACTGAAGGCTTACCTAATGTGGTTCCAGCCACAACCTGTTCAAAACGTGCCCCATGCAGGGGCGGCATGCGTGCACAGGCTCGCACACCCACTCAGGCCTCACACTGACACACAGGTACACGCCCAGACTAGGCCTCTGGCCTGGGGGGCCTGCCCCTCCTTCCACCAAGAGGCCCTGTCTTCTACTGCTTCTGGAACAGGTAGTCCCCCCAAATGGGGAGGTGTGAAGGGGACGAGAAGCTGCCGCTGCTGCCCTGGTTCTGGGGGGTGGGTAGTGGTAGAGCCAAAAACTTCGTGGGGAGGCTGTTCCCAGGGAAGGGCCTTTGCTCCTTAAGATGTGTTCGTTGGGCTTCCCCAACCACCCCCCAGCCGGGTGTGAGAAGAGCTGCCTCTTATGGCCCGGTAGGTAGGTGAGCATCCCCCAGGGCATGGTTGTGTGTGAGAATCTTTTTGCATCTCTGGCAGTCCCTGGAGTCCCAGAGAATCTTCTGTGAGGTAGAGGGAGGGAGGGAGTGGGGGAGAGAGCGAGAGCGGAGAGCGGGAGCATGAGCGAGAGGGAGAGTGACAATGCATGGGTCAGGGTAACTGGAGGAAGAACGACAGACACAACAAAGGGGGATGGCGAGAGGCTGGAAATAGCCTAGGATCAATACTTGGCTGGCAGCCAGGGCCTCCAAGAGCCGGTGAAACCCTTCCAACAGGTCCCCAGGGCAGCCCCCAGCCCGTGATTCCCAGGCTGGGGGGCTGCCCCTTCCCTTTCCCCCATCCCTCCTGCCCATCCCAGCCTCTTGGGAATGAGGCTGACCTAGGGGCTGAGCACCAGTTTCACCAGCGAAGCCCTGGGAGTGATGGGGGGAGGGGGCGTTTGGGCAGCACCCCCGCGGCCCCCAGCCCAGCCCAGCCTCAGTCCTGGTGTGAGCGGGAGGCTTCCCCACTTCCTGAGTTGCTCTTCCCCTTTGCTGTTTGGGTTCAAGCTCCGTCAACCCTCAGTTCTGACCTCCCCACCAGAGCTTCAGCTCCCACCCCCATGGTTTCAGCTGGAACCTGCCCAGCTCAGCCCTCACCTGGTGTGGGTGTCCCTGGGGGGGAGGCCCGGTGGCTGCCGGAGGGGCAGAGTGCTGTGGTTTCTGTGTCCGTGTCCATGTCGGTGTCAAGGTCCGTGTGCATCGGTGTGCGTGTGTGTGTGCGTGTGCAGCCCCGCGGCTTGCAGTACCCACTCCCTCACTCAGCAGCACTGTCAGCTTTTCCCTTAAATACCACCCCCATGCCCTCCTCCCCCCCACACCTGGGGAAATTGTCCCGCCCCCTGATGAGGTCACACATGCTAATGAGCAGTGATGTCAGCGGGATTCCCTCCTTTCTGCCTCCCCCTTCCTTTGTGTCGCTTCCCTCTGGGAGCACACACACTGCGGAGTCTGGTTTCGACCAGAACGAAGTCAGAGGGGCAAAAGAGACAGGGGTTCAGAGAAGCGGGGTGAGGGCTCAGCGGGTAAGGGAGCGGAGGATGGCAGGAGGCAAGGACCCAGGCACTGGGAGGTCTTTCTCCAGGAGCGGGGGACTGTGCGTCATTTGTCTGTGGACTCCCCGCCTCCGAGCCGTGTCCAGCTCAGAGTGGGTGCTCGGTGGCTACATGGAGGGCCTAGAGGCAGAAACCAAGAGATTCAGGGTCACCCTGGCACCAAGCTTCCCCATCACCCTCTCCTTCCCCATACCACCCCTTCTGGGCTAAAAGACCCATCACGGTAGCCATTTCCCAACTTGGTCCCTAGGCAGATGGGGGCTCTGAAGAAGGAGCAATGGCTGCCTGGTTTGGGCAGCTTCATTTTGTCACTAGGTTCAGGCGGGTGCAAACCACGTGGGGACTGCCTCCCCTTCTCTCGCGCCCTGCCAGGCCCACCAACCTAGTGCTAGGCGAGATTGAGCTAAGCCCTCTAGAAGTTCCCTATCCCCGCTCTCCTGCTCGCTGGGGCACCACCAGCCCTCCAGGGCTACACGACGATGTCTACCTCTTTGTGGGAAGCCAGGATGGCTTTACAGCTCCTTTTCTGCCCGGGTCCCTTTCCCTTCAGGCTCCAGCTCGTCTCTTTTCTTCCTGACGCTGCAAGCACCCAAACCGACCTTCCAATTCCCTGGCTTGTTCTCACCCCGTGTTTGTTGCCAGGTGCTGCGCTAAGCACCTTCCTGCTTTCTCTCCTGTCATCCTCCTGACCTGAAGGCTCAGAGTGGTAGGTGGCTGGCCTGTCCCCAGATCGATCGTGCAGTTGGAAAATGGGGACACCAGGCTTCCTACCCTGATTTTTCCAATACCAAAGACTGTTTTTCATCTGCGATGCTGCCTTCTTTGTCTTAAATATTCCAGCTGTCTCCTATTATTGGGAACGGTCTGTATGCTAATCCTCAGTGGGCTCCTCCAATGGAAGAGACGAAGAGTAATCTTGGACTGATGTGCACTGACCACTTATCTGGAGGTGAACTGCAGGGCAGTGTTCGGGGTCTAGGGGAGACAGAAAGGACTCCTGAGCAACCACCATACTTACGCACTTTACTCAGTGGAGACTCTCCAGTCCTCAGTCACAGCCCACTTGGCCTTCCTTATTCACAATTTCAGTATGTCCCTGTGTGTTCCCATACATTTAGAGTAGCAAGGGACCCCTGAAAGCCTGGTAGCAAGGGAAGTAACGCTACAAAAAACTTTGAAAGCAGTCAGAAACATTTAAAAAGTGGTTGGAGGGCATTGGGCAGAAAGGCAAACAGCTTCCCTGACAGTGTTACAGCCTCTAAAGATTGCTATAGAGAGGCCGCTGGTTTCTGGGAGTGATCCTCAGCTCTCCAGAAAAATGTATAGTCTATCGCAGATGTGCTGAAGAGGAGTATGTTTAGAATGATTTCCTTCCAAAATGAGTTTTAAGAGTTTTTAATTGTAAAGGGGTGAGCTTCACGTATCTGGAAAACTCACTTAGGTGGTTGGATTCATTTCTAGGATACTAGATGAGAGTGAGTCAGGGCACAGCTGACCCCGGTGGGACTCAGCCAGCCTTGGGTCCTAGGAGCAGGCTGGGTTACACCTTGAACCACCGTCTCTCTTGTCCCGCTAGTAAGAGGTTGTGCACTGGCCCCTGTCCCAGCTTCCTCAGGAATGGGAGGTCCTGTGGAATGGTGGGGCAAAGGTGAGATTTGGAACTGAACCAACCCAGGTTTAACTCTGCGTCTCCGTCGAGGCTGGGCTAGTCTCATCACTCCCTCTGGGACTGCTCCTGAACCTGTGAATTGGGTTGATGATGCTCATGGCACAGCCTTGTTATGAGCGTTCGCTATGCCTGAAAAAGGATCTGGCACTGGGCAGGTTACCCAACTCTCTTATGCTCCCACAACCTCAGGCAGTGTGGCTGGAGGTCCCTCTCCCCTCCCAGCAGGGCCTGGAGTTTGGTTCAGATTGATTCTCAAGGACTGAATTTTGGTCTGTGCTGTTATCTCAGATTCCCAGGCTGATCTCCATCTCATGCTGAGAACACCTCCCTCCTCCACAGCCAGAGCCTTGGCAAGAGTCCCACACCCTGATACTGGGTACTTTGGATGGCGGTGTCTCTGTCCTGATAGGATGTGAGGTGGTCCCGTTTCTTTTTCCTTAGGCCACGGTGCAAGTAAACTTGGGTGACTGCTCCCCAAGGCTCCACCTCTCCTGGGTGGGACCCTCTTAGTTTCCCCATGCTGCCTGCACAAGGCTAATCCCCTGTCTCCACCAACCTGGGGCTTCACCGTGCCTGACACAAGTAGTACCCCTTGCACCTTCTAGAGCATACACCTAGCACCTAGAGAAACTTCTTTTAGACTCAGAAATCCAGACACACAGCCCTTTCCAGTGAACTCTACCCTCAGGTCTTCCCCCTCTGGCTTTCTGAAGCATTCCACCCTGAGGAGCATTCTTTTACCTTAAATCTTTGTCCACATTCAAATTACAAATACCACCAGGAGGTAAAAGGTCTGGAGCAGGACAAGGGATGAAGCTATCGGCTGAGGGTTTTTTTGGGGGGTGGCTATGAAGAGAGGAGCAAGGGAGAGGCATAGACCACTGATGGGGAGGTGTGGGAGGGAAATCAGCGCTCCCTGCTTCCCTGGGCCTGACACGGGGGGAACTCAGGGACTGTTAGCACTTGGGAAGGCCCAAAGGGGTTAGAGAACACAAGGATGGGGATTTCTGAAGGCCCTTTCCCAATCTCTGGAGAGGGTCTGGAGTGAAAGGAATCTGGCTCTTTCCCAAGTCAAGATCCCATGATCCCACGACTGTACCACATTCACCCTCTGCCACTTCCCTAGTCTCTTGCTCCCTGGGAGGAGGAACGTGCAGTTGGTGCTAGGTGTGAGGATGCTAACAGGCTGTGATCAACAGGGCCCCTCCACCAGGGGGTGGGAAGAGGGCAGGCCTGCCAGGAAGGGTGAGGGTGAGCCTGACGGGAGTCTGCTTCTGTTGGGGAATGCCTTACTTCCGCTTGTAGGGCACCATGCCCACCCCCATGGACTCCGACTGTATCCTTTGTCCCCGTTTTCATTTCAAACTCTGGGACAGCTTCTGTCACTTCACTCACCAGAGGCTGGGCTCCAACGTTTCTCACAGATTATTCCCTCCTCCATCACCTTCTCCAGCTCTTTAACTCCGGCCACTGCTTACACTCCCGCCCCTTTTCTCAGGTCTGGGGTCCAGCCTCCAGCCCTAGTCCTCACAGCAGTTTAGTTTGCTTATCCTGTGGATGCTCACCCTTCCGAGAATCCACAACTCTATTCCAACTACTGGCAACATTCTTTAGAGTCTAGTTTGAGCCCTCTTCTAGGAAGACCCTTTGGATTTGGTCAAAGTGATGCCAGCATCTTTAACCCCGAATGTTTATGATTTTTCTCTCGATTTATCTTTGTCTGCTCTGAGGCATCCTGGCTGAGAGTTCATCTGTCTTGCCTAAGCCAGACTGTAAGGGCTTGGTGGGGGTGGAAGGTGGAGGCCAGGAGTCGTGGCTCCTATGTGCCACTAGAGACATTCTGCTTCTGTGATCTGTGCTCTGGGAGGACTCCATAAATGGGAACCTTCCCAGCTACAGGGCCCAGCTGGCTCACCAGACTTCTGGCCTGGCGGTGAGTAAAGAGGCTTGGTGCTTACCGCTGGTGTCACTCACTGTAGAGCTGAGCCCCAGGGGGGTAGGTGGGGTTGGTGGAGAGAATTGGTCCTTAGGGTTCTTGGAACTTTCTTACCCTCTGAGCGGTATAAAAACCAAGGGTGTGTGGTTAGTAGGAGGAGGGCAGGAGTGGGAGGGCAGACCAGAGGCCTTGGTAGGGAGGAGCACCGTGAGGCGAATATCAGCTGAGATGGGTAGAGACAGGGCTCCGGTCATAGCTCATTTACAAAAATCTGAAATTTCTTGTTCTTTTATTTTCAACCTTGACTTGCTGGGCAATGACCTAGCTATGGGACAAAAGCATTTTTTGTGCTCTTTTTATGAGCCAGGCCCCGCAGGAAGGATCACAGTTGGCAAAACCTCAGGCTCTGCCCAAATCCTTCCCCTGGGGGCTGGAGGTCTCCAGCCAACTGACATTCTGGTGCTTAAAGGCCACTTTTGGGGAGGGGTTTCGTAAGGATGGAGTGTCCAGGCCCATGACCCTTTAAGAAATTTACTTTTTAAAAACAGCCACATGAGTGGTGGTGGTGTGGGGAGACGGTGGCAGTAGAGAGACTGTGGTCTCTGGGCATGGCAGAGGGAGCTCTGTGGGAGCCCTTTCCCCGCCTGAGAGATACCTAACTTTACAGCAGCTACACAGGGTCAACAGGAGGCTCACCAAGGCCCCTCAGACGGAGGGCCAGGGAGGGAAGTGGGGGAAGGGAAGCTGAGCTGCCCTCTTAACGGGTTGTCGGCACTGCGACCGGAGCCCCCGAGGGCGCCAGGTCACCTCAGGCAAGCAGTGGCTCATCCTCCGCTTCCACCACCCAGAGCCCTGGCTCAGCCAGTGGCAACAGAAGCACATCATCTTCGTCCTCTGGAGACAGGGCTGTGGTATGGGGTTCAGGTGGGGTCCGAGTTGGTCCTGGGGGCCGAAGGCTAGGCAGGAGGCGGCCTCGCAGGGCCTGCACCACTCCAGACAACAGAGACGGCTCTAGGGGCACGGAGGGCAGTGGCCCCGGGGCCTCGGAGACAGTAGTGGGGGCCGGAGATGCGCTGGTGGATGGAAGGGGAGCCTTGACAGGCAGCGGGGGTGCTTGTCCCCCGTCCTGCCCACCCACCGCGCCCCCCTCACGGGCCGGACCTGTGTTGCCATCTAGAGCCTCAAGGGGAGCGGCAGAGGGGGTGACCTGGGATCTGGTCTCAGGGGTCCGGGCTGGGGGGTGGGCTCGAGGAAGCAGGCCCCAGCGGCGGAGACGGCGCACGAGCCGGCGCACAGAGCGGCCCCGCTGGCGGCGGCGGGCACCTGAGGCAGCCCCTGGAGTCACGTCCTGGCGCAAGATCTGGAGCAGCGAGCGCAGGTTGCCGAGCACTGAGTTCTGCAAGGACAGGAGGCAGGGCCCGGAGTCAGAGTTGTGGCGAGGGCCAGGAGGCTAAAGAAGGACGGTACGGTGGCAGTGCCCCGGGAGGCTTGGAAGCAGGAAGGACGAGGCCTGGGGGTCACTTACGTCGTTAGGGTTCTCCGTAGGGAAGTCCTCTACAGGCGGGATGGCGCCCTGGGCAATGAG